AGAAAACATCCAAAGGATAGAAGTCCCATTTAACAGCTCCAGTAATTGAATAAAATGACTGACTGGACTGGACTGCAAACGATGATGGTGGAACATTTTTTATCAATCATTTAAGACGAGGATCAAGGAATTTCATTTTGTTTTACAAATGTCTACTTTCTGTTAAAAAAACGCATCTTTTCATCAGGAAAAAACACACCCACATTTAATTATTGATATACAATTAGAAGAGTGATTTAAGGATCACTTGCAGAAAAAATGAGGGAAATCGAGATCAAAAAGGAGGAGTTTTGATAGCAAATGTCAAGAGTGAATCTTGACCATTGACCCCTCACGCTACAACCCCACTAGCCTGTCCCCACCCTTTTACACTGCACATTTAAAACATATAAAGGCAGAAATCCAGTTCCACCATTCAGATTCCATTATAAATATGAGCTACTGCAGTACACTGAAAATGATTTGACAGTTGAGCCAGTTCTCTTGGCCTATAATATGGTGATTTGGCTAAAACTCAAATCTGCAATACTATATAATGTACTGTAGTATTATATGCACTTGTAAACCATTAATCATCGGTACCAACCTGCTGTGATTTCATATCTTTGTCATCTATTTTCCTTTTCACTAAATTACTTAGATCGGCCTTCTTCCAGAACAGCATCTCGTAATATCCTGGCAATATATATTCACGACGCTATCTGCATCTCACTCTATATTAAATTCATATATCTGAATATCACATCGATACCAGTCAGGCCGTATATGTCAATCCTGTCTAAATCGTCGACCCGTCGCATGCATAGCGAACACTCAACCATCCTGGAACAGACGCAGCCTGCTGCGACCACATGAGAATCTACGGCTGCTACCGACTAAGCAAAAATGATGTTGATTCCTCACGGAGATATCTAGAGTTGCGGAGATGACAGATCTCAATCCACGCAGGTTGTTCTTGATGAAAACTTGAACTCGACAAGCCAGTTCCTTGTCCCAGACCTTTTGGTCTTAATGGGACTGGGGGATGATAAGACTAAAACACTTCCCTTACGAAAACTCTGAGCACAGTTTTTTCTGTGTTCTATTCATTCAGTTCCTCGTTAGGATACTTAAATATTGCTCATCGCTACACAGCCATCTGTAAATGTACCATGGGAGCAGAAGATACAAACTCTGAACTCTATATTTTCGTTTGAATCAATAAGCACTACCTTAGATCAATAAATGAATACAATCAAATAAACTGCATACATGAGAAGTGAATAAATCTGATTTTATCTTTGGTCTCAGAACTTGTTTTCTGTTTTGTTCATTTCTTTCAACTGAGGGTAGTTGTGTTTTTTAATCAATTAATATTATATATTATGTTAATCATGTTTTTTGTTCACATGTATAAAGTTCTGGACATGTTGTTTCTTAATGTGTTTTTGTTCAATAAGAACATGCAGTATGTCGAATGGATTCCATGGAATGATGTAGCTGCATAATGTTGCAGTAAACTAACTTGTCTATTCAGCATTTGTGAGTTGCCGTGGGTTTGCCATCTGTTTGCACACATAATGAGTTTCCTAAATAGCCTCCAATGCTACATTGCCGTGTCTCCTCACACAAATCTACGCACGTGCTATTTAACAAGAATAACCACATCCTTAACTTCCCCGGTAATGGTTAGCAAAAAATGCTCATAGAAAAGTGTCTGAGCAGTTGACTTTTATGCTACACTGGCCATGGTGTTCATTGATCGGAATTTTGAGCTTCGTGATTGTTTGCTAAATACAGCTTTTTTAATGCATAACTTTGACTTGTCAACAAAGGTGTTCATAATAACATGAATGATGGCTCTAAGTCATTTAAAGCATACTGTACCGCCACGATACAGTTAATGCACATGAGTAAAACACTTAAAGTTACAGACTCATGGGCGTACTTGGAAACATTTTAAATTCATTTTTCTTATCTGTTCTGCTGTAGTTGTATTTTCCACACGCTTGAACCAACACAGATAGCTGCACAGTGCTAAAATTAAGTTTGACACGAAATCTACTTTTGAAACAACCACTCTTCTCTTACAGGACTGTAAAGCAGCACATCTATCAGTATTATACAGACAGACCTCGAAAATACCTGAGGTCCTGAGAGGACAGCCGTTAAGCAAAACAAAAAGGATTTTTGATTTCCTCGGGTAAATGCATTAGAGTACGACATACAGATATGCATATGATGGGAAAAAGAACTCATCTGGGGCAAGGGGGCACTGATGAGCGGCCCCAACAAATAGATATCATGTCCAACCAAAAAGATAATCATCAACAAGTTGAAGCAAGCGTAACAGATAATAGATCAAACATTCGCACGCTGCTAACAACTTTTTCTTTGTTTCGTCATTTTTCTATTTGGCAACTGTTGATTGCGGCACTTACCAGACTATCGCCACCAGCCTGCTCAGACAACAGCAGGTTCTTGCTGAAACTAACATGGTGGGAGTACAACATCAACGCTCTGCTTACTATCATAATTTTAAAGCATGAAAGTGAGTTCAGCGTTCTTAGATAGAGAAGTTGTGAAGTGGATAAAGAGAAAAAAAAAGCTTTAACACTGATGATCTATTTAGGAATAGTCACCAGCAGAGAAACAGTGGAATATTAAATATATAGCTTTGAAACGTCACAAAAATGATAATAATTAAATATAAAGATTTCTGCACCATTCCTCACTGTCCACCTGCAGAGCCACTCCAGCTAATTAACTTTTTGCCTCAGAATTGTTCTGTCTTTGTTGCCTTATCTGAACTTTTTGTGAGTCCCTCTTCTAGATAACCGCACGCCACTAACCACTTTTTCTCTTTCTTTTTTTTTTTTACTCTGTCTCTTTACTGAGCATGATGGTTTTGCCTTTATTTAACTGCCTTTGTTGCCTACGTACATCCTGATTTGTATTTGAGTCCAACCTCTTTAATCCCAGTTTTTGCACAACCACTGCACCTTAAATTGGCCAGAGAGTACGTGATCGTAATTCAGACCCTTGGAGCGCATGCTAAGACCTGTCGATGACAACACAATAAGACACAGAGCTTTGACACAGTGTTTCCCCACTTCGGCTTATCAGTTGTCAGTCTGGTTTTTCGCATGTCAAATAGAATATAATAATTCGACTGTCCACCACTCACTTTAAGGACCTCGATTATTCCCCTCATAAAAAGCTTTTACCATTTTTCAGCTGTTATCTAACTGACTATCCAAAGTATTCAACAACAAGTAGTCGCATATGCTTTTGAACAGTATACTTGAACAAGAGAGCAGTGCATCATAACAAAAAATGACTGGAGCAAAATAAACTGTTTTATATTGTTTAAATTGGCTTTATTGTGCAAATAATAACGCCGATACAGAAATGTGTCCACCTGAGTTTGACAATATCTTAGCCGGTTTACTAACAGAGAGAAAAGATGTATCCACAACTAACCGCAACATAGCTCAACAAATGCAGATGAAGACGATGTAACATTGCTACATTTAGTCAGTTTGTGGTTCGAGACAAACTTGTCTAGTTCACCTCCATTCACAAAACAGCACAATTACCATGTATCTTTTACACAAAGTATGATCAACAATCACGCACGTAAATAATGAATCGTTGTCAGTTGCGACGGTGTAAACATGTGATCCTTAGGTTGTATCCTCTTCACCCAGATGGCACGACACTCCAGGGAAAATCGGACATAGCTGGAGATGAGTATCTCGGTCTGTGTGGTGCCATTTCATGGTTAAAACATCAAAAAAGGAGTCCAACAGTAACTCACCCAGAATCATGATTGACTAATTTATAATAGGAGAGACATACAAAGAAAAACACAAAGTGTCAGCAGAAGGAGAAGACACAGAATACAGAATTTGACCTGGATAAGGGCTGCCCACGATATCGTCAATCTATTTCATTTCATAATGTGATAAAACACACACAGGGCTGTTTGCTTATACTTCAGCAGCTTTCACTAAGACATTTAGTGGAGGGTGGAATGGGCACAACAGGAAAGCTGTAAGTTGGGAACTTTGCCACTTCATTTATCTCAAAGCAATAATTTCTTAGATACATATCTCTTACATCTTCTTGGAGTAATCTGCAAAGTGTATTCCTGTAGTCTACTACTTATGTAGCGTTCTTGATTAGAGGATAAAGCTGGTGATATCTAATTTTTTATGTTGTCAACAATCTCACAAAGAGACCAAACAAATAATACGAATGAGAACTTACTCTCCAAATCTCGGGCTTATACATTCATACTTCTCAGCTCTCGCATCGTAACATATAGTCTTAATCGCCCTATTTCCCTTACTTTCACTCATGGAATCACTATCTATTTAGTTGAGTTGCCATAGCCTGATACACTTATTCCTTCTGTGCCCATAGAGCCCATGTTGTCCAAAACTATTAAAACACACCAGTGAGTTCCACACTGTTTACACTGTACTATCTTTCCTTACATTTTTATCAAATCATAATCTCTCCGGGCACTAGTCAACAGTTATTTAGGAGTTCATACCGCTCACTCCACTTACACCGTCTCTGTTGCCATATATAAATTAACTCAGACTTAAAATACTCCAAAGCACCAAATATGATGCGTATTAAATATCCGTATAGTCGCTCTAAAATAGTCCGAACAATGTATGCTATTACTAACCTGCGTTCTAGATAATTATCTGGCTTTATCGCATAAAAATACTATCCAGTATATCCACCTCAGTACATATATTCATGTAGAATAAGTACACTGCGCCTTTTTTTTAAAAAAACTTTTGAAGATGCACCGGATTTCTATAAACACATAGCTATCTTCTAGTTTGCTACTATAGTACTCTGAGGAGATTACAACATTGGTCGTCTCTGCTCTATTGTTCCCCTATGATTCTTCGTGTGCCGTATAATGAGAATCTAAATTAAACATCTAGGACTTATTAATTCCAACCACCTACTTCAATCAAATCTGATAGTGAATGCATACAAGAACCAAATTATTGTCTCATCGAATGATTAGTGACTAATGAACTACAATACAAGAAGCTGCAACTTATATTTCCGCCAGAATCTCACACAGTATTAAGTTTATATCTTAGCATTGTTCCTCAATCTGCTTTAGTAAGCTATTGTCCAGATGCTCATCTCGTTGGAAAATCACGCATCCTTCACCCCCACCACGTCTATTGTACCACACCAACCTGTGCCAAGCGCGCGCCGTCGCTCATTCACACACAAACACACACACTAACCACACATCGCCAACATAATCGCGCTAGGGCCTCAGAGTTGCATTTAAGTGTTGTCCTCCTCAGCTCCCTTTCACTTAACACAGACCTTCATTAAATCAGTGCTTATTTAGACAGACACACACACACACACACACACACACACACACACACACACACACACACACACACACACACACACACACACACACACACACACACAATACTGGTGTGTATTCAGATGGCTTGTGCTACACCTCATCATTTCTTCCCTGTCCACTGCATTGTAGACTGACCTACAGCAACTGGTCTACTGGTGCAAAAACCTGCTACATTGTCGTCTAGTTTGCACAACATTTATGCTACTTCAATTTGAAATTGTCACAGTGTGTTAAACATGGAAAGGAAACACAAATGCATCCATCATAATGTTAACCCCCTTCTTCTGTTAGTAGGCCTCTTTAGAGTCAGACTTGGAGACTTCAGTGTTGGTGGAATGTTGCTTGAACAGTTTTTAAAGACAGGGGAGGTCTTCCAGGGTGAAATCCGTGTGGGCTGAGGTTTGGCAAAATGCTGGCATCGTAGCAAGAGGATCACGGTAAAGGACCTGATGCAACACAAGGAGTGATGCAGTTTGTGTCCTCATCTTTTAAGGTTCCATGGACGTCGCACACCAGCAGTTTGATCTATGACTCTGAATCCTTGAAAGATTGGGGGGGGGGGGGGGGGGGGCACAAACCAGTTAGTCTAATTATCTATTTTTTTTATTTATTGTATCTGCAATTTATGAAATTGAACTTCGTCTCCTTTAAGTTATTCTTTTTTTGAATGGATTTTCCGGACTAAACATTATAGCAAGATGTCCCTGCTAAACATCAAACTGAGGAACATTTCCAGACTGCATGTATCTGCATTATCCTGCTGGTTTATGCGTAATTGAATCACTTCTAACTGAGTTATCAAGGGACAGAGAAAAAGGATGCGACTAGGGGAAAATCAAATAAATGCTCCTTAGTGATTAATGGAAATGAGCCCCTTCAGTGTTTGGCAACTGCAGCATCCAATGACCCCTGTTATTTTGTATTATTCCAAAAGCACCACTGTAGTTAAAGCTCTGACAATGAGAGAGACACATCATTGCTGTGGGAACAGACAAGGCCACTGATTCTAGATGTACTCACATCTCCTTTTTCTATCAAAAAAAGATGCTAAACATCAAATTTTTCAGAGGCAACTTGCAGGAAGCAGAGCTGCTGATCCAGTGCGGTGTTTAGTCTTTGAGCAAGTTGGGCGGCAGCACGGCTTTTAACAGACACATCAGTGTACTTGTATGTATATACTTTCACTCACTTTCACTGACGGTTGGGCAGTGAGCCCAAGGAATGCAAACACAGTGTTGTTCTCCTTCGACTCGAAGAAGTCCTCATAGTCCTGAGGGGGAAAGGACAAAAAAATAAAAAATGAGGATGTTGAGTGTTACATAATCTCTAGGCTGTAAATTTAAAAGATTGTTGTAAACATCCCTGCCAAATCGTCCTTCCACTGCTGCTTTTAATATAATTCAATGACCGTGACATTGCAGAGTAATGTTGGATTACCTTGGCCAGTGAGAGTGACGAGAGGCAAAGCAGATAATCTGCCCCATCCATGAAACTGGATTACGACAGGATTACAGAGTAGTGTGCAATCAGTGGAGGACATAAACTGGCAAGCTTTGCATTTGGATAGAACCCGTTGAAAGAAACTTGAGAAAACTGTAAGTGAACTTGCTCTAGAGGACAGGCAGAAAATGTTGTTTCTTCATTTGAAAACACAACAAAAATTCAATGAATTTGCACAAAGACCTTTTAGACTTCAGGCATAAAGGTTGAAACAATCAGAACATTTGGCGTAAACAGACTCAAAAATGTTAAGTGTCTTATGTACACTTCCGTCTGATATTAGTCATGCCTTCACTTCCTTTTATTCTAACTTCTACTGTATACTTCTTATGCCCCAGAAGACAGTCTGCTGGTGCTTACTACACAAAAAAAAGTCTGCTGCAGTGAAGGTTCCCAAGAGCACAGTGGCCTCTTCCTAGAACTGGCCACAGAACTGAGCAATTGGGGGAGAAGGTCCTTAGTAACTGAGGTGACTGAGAAGTCGATGGTATTTATGGCATAGTGGCCAGACCGGATGCTCTCCTCATAGAAACCCACACGAAAGCTGCTTGGAGTTTGCAAAAAATATACCTAAGGACTTTCAGACTGTGAGAAACAAGATTCTATGGTCTGATGAAACCAAGATTGAACTGTTTTGCCTCAATTCTAAACTTCATGTCTAGAGGAAACCAAGCACCCGCTCAATACCATCCCAACGGGTGGTGGCAGCATCATGCTATAAGGGTGTTTTTCAGCGACAGGGACTGGGAGACTGGTCAGGGTTGAGGCAACTGAGCAAAGTACAGAGATATTCTTAATGAAAACCTGGTCCAGAGCACTCAGGGCCTCAGACTGGGCCAAAGGTTAAACTTCCAATAGGACAATGACCCAAAGCACAGAGGCAAGATAACACAGGAGTGCCTTAGGGACAACTCTTTGACTGTCCTTGAGTGGCCCAGCCAGAGCTTTGACTTCAACCCAATCTAATATCTCTGGGGGGACCTAAAAATCGCTCTCCACTGACAGTCTCTGTCCATCCAGACAGAGATTGAGAGAATCCCCGAATCCAGGTGTGCAAACTCAGCTTGTCGCATCATACCCAAAAAGACTCGGCTAAAATCTGCCAAAGGTTCTTCAACTGAGTACTGAGTAAAGTCTGAATACTTTCCGAATGCACTGTATACAATGCATTTTGGTGCGGAACAATAAAAACTCAGATGTGCAAGAAACAATACCATCTGCGAGTATGCAGCACTACCTGCTCATTACAAACATTACAAAGTCCATCATACCCCACAGTAGCGATCCTCATTGAAGATCTGTGGAGGCAGCGGGTTGCCTTTCTCTGGCTGCTTGTCCCGGGGTATGTTGCGGTACATCCATAACCTCTGCTCCTCCAGCATGGTGATGTCAATTTCCTGGAAGCTGATTCGATTGGCCTCCAGGAAACCGACTACAGCCTGTTGATGCTTTTTAACCTGGGTCGGTAGAAAAGGAATAAATGAAGAACAAGATGGAGGAGGGTTGGTTTCGGAGAGGCAGAGAGGTGGTACATTGAAAATAATTCAGAAAAAAAGAAATGAAAAGGATGCCGCTACAGCTAACTAAAGTGAACAAATGTACATTTACATAAAGTGCAGGTGGACAATGTGTGTGTTTGGCATGCCCTCTGTCTCTGTATACTGCTCTTGGGTGTTTAATACACTTCTGTAATGACAACTTGTAAGATGACACCCATCGAGCCAGAGGCAGCGCGCGCGCGCACACACACACACACACACACACACACACACACACACACACACACACACACACACACACACACACACACACAGAATAGGGACATTAAGGAGGATTATTGATTAGTGAAGGAGATTAGGTTTGAAAAGATTATTTTCCTTCAGTATGTCTTGAACCTACATCAATACACTTTACTAGACTTAAGAGAAGGGCATAGAAGGGCATAGGCTGTGATGATTATCATTTTTCAATGCATCTATACATTGCAGTTAATCATTCTATTCTAAAAGGTACATTGTGTTGCAAGTGCATTTACAGTAAGAAGGAACCCCATATTAAAGGTATCCAGTCAACTTTCCCAGCTGTGGTCTATGGGATGGATGCAACAGCTCCCGGTGGTATTGTCCTATGTCCTCTGGGACAAAATGTCTCTGTTTGTGTGTTAGTGACAAAAAAAAAAAAAATTCCAAGGATAATTTTAGAAGTCAGAAAACTCCCACGGTAGGTCGTAAACATGCATTATACACAGAGACACAGTTCAAATGTCTTGGACTTGTAACTGCGAGTGTACAATATTTATTTGGTGTTCTGATTAACATCTAGCTTGTGCTATTAATAAAATCAAAATTTTTCGTCAGACATCCATGGTTTTTTACTTGCAACAGCATCTATTTTGTATATTCATTCATTCTATTTCATCTCTATTTTTGCCTCCATTGTGAAAACTAACGCAGTGCTGTGGTGACTCAGATGCTTGAACATTCATTAGCATCACAAAAACCTGATTACACATTGTGAACAAATATAAACAGGGGCATTTATTCTGTGGTTGAATATAATCATTGAATTATGTCTCTCCTGTGTGCTTATGTGCATATATACAGCACATGTGCGTGTGTGCCCATTATTTTAGGGATGCTGAGCGCCACAATGGAGCTATTGTTTTACCTTACAGACAGTGAGGGATTGTTCTGGACAGTCAGTTATTGACACTCACATCCAGATAAAACAGCTTTATCTTGAAGCCCACAAAAAAAGTAAATCAATTACAAGAATACTGACTGTCTTTCCAGAGAAACGTGCCCGTTTGTTCTGGTTGTACGGAGCCACTGTTAGTGTCTAGTCTGAGACAACACTGCATGTCACACTGCTGGTGAACTACATAGTATAAATGACTGGGTCTTCCTCTGAGCTGAGAGCCAGGCAGCGTGGCTCTAAATAATGAAGGAGGTGCCCCCTGCGAGTGTGAGTGAGAGTGTGTGTCAGGGGATGGATGGGTCCAGATTTGTGTGTGAGTGTGTGTGCATGTAGGATTAAAAACATAAACACACTCAAATGACAATATATGAGTATATGCATGTGTTGCTTGAGAGCGCTTTCTGAAATGCAGGGATTAGCTCAGGGTTAAGAGAGAACTAATCCTTTAGACACAGGCAGAAAGAGACAGGGAGATAGGAGTGGTGTGTGTTGGGGTTGGGTTGGGGGTATTTGGGGGGGGGAGGGGCTTGTGACAGAAACAAATAATCAAAAATGAATAAATCACACCTGCCCTAAAAAACAGAGGATGACAATCGTTTGGATATTTCACCATCTATTAGATCAGTTTATGTGAGGATATGTAGTTGTGATCATTTTTAATAATTAAAACCAACATTCGTAATGATCATTGGGAAAACATGAATTATAAAATGTAAAATTTGATGGGACTGAACTCGACACACATCTATTGAGGAGTGGGGGATAACCTAATTTGCACTTCATTCATTCTGTGCAGATGATTTCCGCCCCACTAATCTGCTGTTGCAAAGCTGTGAACTGCTCATTTTATGGAGACTTCTGATGATCATTTTTCCCTCGAGTCCTGCATTTGTCGCACCTGTGTGCTTTCCCAGATTCCACCTCCTGCCCTCACTTTCTTTAACACTGTCTTCCTCCATCTCCATCTCACACTAGTAGGCCTACTTTTTTTTTTCCCCCTTCTACACACGCACACACACACATCCACTTCACTTTATATCAGTGGAGGGATCCAGCCTCACCTCTCCTCTTTATTCAATCACTTGTAACTCAATTCAAAAGCATTCAAAGCGAATTACATTCACATGAGCTCGACACTCACATAACTGACCCAAATGGTGGAACTTTTCAAGTGTGTGTGAATGTGCTTTGTGTGTGTGTGTGTGTGCTTTGTGTGTGTGTGTGTGTGTGTGTGTGTGTGTGTGTGTGTGTGTGTGTGAGAGAGAGTTTGTCTCTGTGTTTTCAATGTATGTGTCAACGGGTTATAAATAACTCCTTTAGTAAACGCGCAAAGATTGTGCTGCCCTCTTCCACTAAGAGGGAGCATGATAAAATAAATATATTACTCATTTGTACCATTACCTAAGTCTTTAAGCATTCGAGCAAGAGTGTTGTTTGATGATTTTCTGCTCAATCTCAGTATCAGCTGGACTCTCCCTATGGCATGAGCCTTGTTGTTTGCCAAGAGGCACTATAAGACTGGAGCTGCACCTAATATTTTCATTGCAGATTCATATCTTGTTTCAATGTCTTTTTTGATGTATCCATTATTTCTTAAGTTAAAGAAATGTCAGGAAATAGTAACAGGTAGAAATCACAATGTCCCAGAGACAAAATGACTCAGCCCAACCAAGACCAAATCCCAAACATATTTAATTTATGACAAAAAAAAATGCATGATGCACAATGAAAGCATCAAATCCTCACATCTGAGAAGCTGAAACCAGAGAATGCTTAATTTAATAATTGGCAACTTTCTGCTGATTGACTAGTTAATCATTTCAGCAGCCCTAAAGAACCACAGTAGGCTATATGTCCCGTCCAATCAAGTATACTGACATAAATCAGTCTTATTGAGATTAAGCCTGGCCGCAGGATGCTGCTGCTCAGATGTGGGAGCCCCTCCCTAGAATTACTCTGGGCTTGAACAAGTTGAAAGGAACATCTCTCAAAAAGGTTCAGTGATGTTGTTCCAGAAGCCAGGAAACTGTTATTTAATACATGTAAGAATAAAGCGAGGGCAGCTCCTGAGGTTCCCGAGGTTTACACTTTCAACTGCTCCTGAAGATGGTTTCAGTGTAAAACTGCATGCAAGACTAGAACCATGTCTCTGAGGCTCAAGACTATACACTATAACTATATGCCTCTGGGGTTTTTTTTATTGGAATAATCTTACTCTAATATCTGTTGAATATCAGTCTTCTCCTTAATCCCACAACACAAATCTGCTCTAGATAGGCCTACTGTTTAAGTTCCTTTGGTTTCACAGTCATCAGAAAAAACATTGATTCTACTCTACTTTATGAGACCATAGTTCATACACACACACACACATATATATATATATATAAATATATATGTCCTGAGGGAATGTAAATGGACTATGGCTTGTTTGCAAACCAAACACGTACGTTGTTTCCGCCTATAGGAGGGAGAACTTTTACAAGAATTTGCCATATATTCGGCTTCTGCACCTTTAAAGCCCAGGTGAGGGTTGCAACAAAGCCTGTAACACCAATAGGAATATTAAACACAATCCTGTTTGTGAAGTGCAAATTCAACAGGCTGAACTGAAACCGATGCCCAGACCACAGAACAGATAGAAAACGACCTATTAAACTCCTGCATTTTGTCTACGCACCTGTCAACTTGGAAACACGTCTGATTACAATCAACACTCACCGCGACAGAGCCAGTTGAGGAGGCGATGTAAACCTTGATGACCATTTTAATCCCAAATAAATGTCAGGCGATCGACAACAAACTGTTTGGTGACAGCGAGCGAGTCCGGTTTGTTCCCCAGGGTACGGCTGAAGAATTTGGAGTAGTACAGACTGCGCTTCAGATGAGAAAAGACACGCGTCTCCAGCATTTATACCGAGCTATGATAATATAAAACGGCGTGCGCTCCTACCGACTGTGGAGCTCAGCCGCTCTCCTCCTCACTGCACAGATGCTACACATAACACTAAACACTGGGTTTCCGGCCCGAACCTTTCATAATAAAAACAACACAGTAAAACTGCATAGGTTTTTTTCTAGAGGGCATTTAATTGGGAACCCCCGGAAGCTTATTCGGATCCAAATTAAGATATATTTATTTAGTTGCTCGTTTTGCTTTTGGGAAACAAAAATTGAAGTGCACTTTTCTAAACAAACTATTGCAATTACGTGAATTACAATGACATTAATAAAAATTTGCCTATGTATCAAATGAGTGTTGATCGCTATGTATATTTTGATACAGATCTGGATCTATATGGAGATTAAAATGCAGATTAAAAATGTCTGACCGTTTTCTATTATTATACAAAAGAAGGTCGTGGTTATGGCGTTTTGTTTCTATGGTCATGTGCTTTCGTCTTGCAACAAATTTTTATTGCTGACAATAAAAGAAATGACAGACTTTATATGTGCATAGATCATTTGTGTTATAAACTAAAGCAAATTTCAATATCTGTTGCATAGCATGAGTAAAAAACCATACCACCATCAGTGGATGTTCCAAATTTTGTGACAACTGTATGCCACATGTCAGATAGCACATGTTTTTCATAACATAAACCTCAAACACCAGCTAATATTTGGTTGATATGGCATGGCAATTCAATACATTTTCCATTATCATATGAAAATCAAATGTTTGAAATAGCCTATTGCTACCCATTTAAGATAAGTATCTAGATATTCAATCTATAGGTTACTATTCTTTTAATTTGCATTTTTACTGTTTTGGAGCAATTTTTATTATTTATTCATTTATTAAAATGTTTTTAATGCATTATGCCCAGCACTTTGAATTGTCTTTTTGTATGTAATGTTGTACATTACAAATAGTGTATTCTTCATAGAACCAACATCAGACGTACATATCTAGAAATATGCTGTTCTGACAGACTGAGTGCATGCACACATGATGTGTCCTGAAAACTTTACCACAATTGAAATATGGATTGCACACTATGGGTAAGAAATCATATCAGCATCTGTGATTTTATTTTATTTTTTGAGTTTCTATTATATTTCAGGATAGGAGCGAATTAATGACATACAAAGTAAGTATGTAACATAATGCATGTATAAACCACTGTAAACCACTTTTTATAACCACTGTATATAAAAAGGTTTTTTTAAAAAAAACATTTAGCTATGTATGTCACAACACGTACTACAGCGCCACTCGGGTGGAAGAATGTAATTTCAGGAAGTGCTGCGGTTGCCATGGTGCGGCGTCAGCGGCTGGACTGGAGCAAAGCTCAAGGCGTGGACTGAAAACAAAAAATAGTATCTGGACGCCCCTGACTGGCAGGATTACTCCGTGCTGCTGCTTCATTTTGGATAATTACAGATCGGCGCATTTTTAAAAGGACAGTCATGATCGTTGCCAAAAAGGGCGGATGGCTATGCCTACTTATATCTAACGGTACTTAAGCTTGCTAAAGTTCATGCTAGTTAGCTTGCTAACAGTTAAAGCTATGTAGCTCACGTTAGCCAATCGAGTCCGAACACGAAGCTCTCTATTGCTACAAAGTTAAACAAAAAGCAAACAACGCCAGCAAGATTTTTGTAAAGTAAACGCGGAAACGGACAGGTTAGTGCCAGCAGACTCTGAACGGTAACGCTAAAACACATCCCACCTGTTGATGGTAGTTGTTTGTTGCCATCTTAGCATTAGTTTGCATAAGCTCACCCAGCACTGTTAGCTTTGTAGAACCAATTAAACGCTAACATTTTCTAATGTCTGTACGCCGAAATGCTTTTGGCATGGTCTCCCACTTTTTTCTTCTATTTACATCTATTTGATAATGCTGCATGTGAGTAGAGGGCCCGTAGATGTGTCGTTGGCTTCAGGTGCTACATTGTGTTGCTTTTGCTTAGCAGGTAGTCTGACAACAGTAGCAATGCACCTGTCAACAGCAGACGGCCTACATTAATCCAATCTGTCACGTCAGGTACAGCTACTACTACCGCTGTAGTAAGCTCTTAGTAACAAGCATCTGTTGGTTTTCAGTAGGCGGCTGCAGAGAGTTTCTCAGCTAACCGAAGGGAGTTACCAGGAACCTGGAGACAATCAGACATTATCATGATTAAGACGACAGCGGTGACTGGGATATGATGTATGTGGTGAGTGTTAAAATACTCAGATAGTTATATCTATTAAACAGGCAGATTTTCCTTTAGGCAAGGTTTTATGTAATATTAATCAGGGTAATTATTTCAATCCAATCAGGTAGTTCATATTGAAAATAAAATGTTTCATATGAGTAAAATATTTTTTTTACTGTCAAAATGTTTTTAATCATCAAAAATCAAAGTTTGAATGATTATTATAAAGGCGAAATGTATCATGTAAAAAAATGCAAGTAAAAAGCAAGTATCCTTTAACAAACTATATAACAAAGCTTAACATTGTTTTCAGAAACGGGTTTGTATCGGTTATGAGACCTCTCTGTCCTGCTTGACCTACAATGCTGCTCTTCTCTATGGTAATGCGGCTGTGTGTACTGTTGTTGCCATTGATACTTGCCCATCAAGTGATTCTATTATTGTCCAGTAGATGAAAGGGCCAGATGACTGTATGACCTTTACATCCCATTGACACAAATACGAAGGAGCATACTCCTTCCACAGTATTAAGTATGAATCATATGTTTATTCTTCAAATTCATTAAGGTTGTGTGGTCTCTTACAGTAAAAATAGACTGACTTAGAAAAAAAATAGAAAAAAGTTTTTTTTCACATAAGATATATACAGAAAGAAGACATAAAATATATACAGTATGGGGCACACAAAATATTCAATATGCAACATAATATCTACAATCAACACAATGGGAATATAAGTTACTTCTACTTCTACTTATTTTTATCAGTCATCATTTTCTTATTTTTTCTGTATCCTGTGAATATGTGTGTACATGTGCATCTTATTGCAGTGAGAAATAATATTCTGGCTGTTTTAATAAGCCATTAGGGCAGACAGGGGGCAGGCTGGTATTTAGTATGAAGCAACAGTGGTGTGGAATAGTGATATCATACAACATTCAGCCTCATGGAAAATTCCACCTCATGTGTATTGTCGCTTAGTGACCAAGATACACAATACGGAAAAGCTGAGAGAAACCAGTTAGCCTAGCTTCTTATTACTGTTCTGGTTGACTTTTGAGAATGTTTTTCTGGGTTGTTCAGTACAAATGCTGATATCAGTTTATCAGAGTACTTTTACTGTAAGCCTGTTAAATCAGGTAAGGTACATCTTGTACAAGTAGGCAGAAAATATAATACAGTATTATTCAATGTCTGATTTGTTTCTTTTCCACTTTCTGTGTTTAATTTCAACACAGCATTTCTTCTAAAAGTGACAACATGGAATCTGAAAATGCCACTGACCTGTATGAAGACAACCGGGATGTTGATCTAAGTCGCCAGTCCCTCCAGAGTAACAAGAAAGATTCCCGAGCGTCATCCTTCCAAAAAGATAAAAAGAACTTCAGGGACAAGATCCAGGATGATGATGAAAAAGACAGCAATGTTGAGAGTAGATCAAAAACCAGAACCTGGCATTCAGACCCTGATCGGGATCAGATATCAGATGGAGAGGGACGGAGGAGTAGTGGGTCATTTTACTCAGAGGACTATGAGAATGAGTCTCTGTCAGAGCGTTCGCTGTCACCATACTCCCAGTCCCGGACTCCATCCCCTGCTCCTCAAAGAGGAGTGCGGGCAAAGAAGATTTCTGGCAGCCCCCTCTACAAGACAGGTATGTAAAGCAATGAGGTGTTCGAGTTTGGACTGATAAATGAATGAAACTTAATCCCTATCGGTTAAATTTTCTTTACTGTCCAGGTGATGGCAGTGTAAGGCAGATATTAACATGGTGATTTATATAGAGGGAAAAAAACCTCTTATGAGGATACGATTTTTACAAGCAGTTTTCACTCTATACTCACAAATAACTGTTATATTCCTGAAGTTCCATTTGAATATTGTAAAAGTTCTTACCAGCAGCTTTGCTGGGCTAATATTTTCTATGTAGTGTCAACCTTAACTTATATTCACCATTCAATTGGAATGCACTTAATGTCAATGTGTTTCAGTAATGGCTTGTAAAAGTAAGTGTTGATTGACTTTTAAATTATTTCTACATCATGCATGTTTCTGTCTTGTAGGTGGTGTGGGGCGCCACGGTGTGTCCCGCCCACAGCGTCTAGGTGGCCAACCTCTGATCCAGCAGCATCGCAGGGGAGTGCGGGCACAAAGCAAGGAGTCCACACCTCCTAAAGACCTGGACCTTGTGACCAAGCGGATGCTTTCGGCCCGCCTGCTTAAGATCAATGAATTGCGTAACGCTCTTGCTGAGCTGCAACAGCGCACTGATGAGCTGCAGAGGGAAAACCGAATTCTCAGACAGGTAGGCCTAACCCTCTAATTTGATTGGGGTTGAATATATGGGACCTGGAATGGTATTTGTTTTCTTTTTTTGCTTACTCTTCACCTTTGACACCTGGTGCATCCTCAAATGGAACGTGTTCTTTTCCACGCTTCAGCTTCAGGTTCGTCAAGAGAAAGCCCTGCAGCGCTACGATGACACCGAAAGTGAGATTTCTCAGCTGCTGTCCCGCCACTCCAACGAGACCCACGTGCTGCGCGAACGGGTCAGGCGCACTCAGGAGCGGGAACGGGCAGCTGAGCGGCGGATGAAGGACAGCGAGGAGCAGCTCCAGAGGAGTCAGGTGACCATCGCTCGGCTGAAGAAGCTGGTCGACCAGCGAGAGTTAGGAGCCAGGGATGAGCTGAACCGCAGGCTGGAAGAAGAGAAGGCACGGGCTCAAGAGGCAGAACGTAAGATTAAGGTAAATTTATCAAGGAGTTCATTTAAATACCTAGTTATTTATTGATAAAGCTGAGCTCTGCAAATGTTTTACTTTTGTGTCCCTCTGAATTTGAGAATTTAATGTTTAGTTTTTACTACATTTTTGAATGAATAATGCACGTTATTGGCTATTGCATTCAAGACATTGAATACAACAAGCCAGTAAACACTGCCACAAGAGGAGCGTAGGCAGTTTCAGATTTGACAGAATTTGCCCTACTGTTGATTTATTTCTGAACATCAGTTTCACCGTGTCTTCTTGAGATGTAGAGATTTGACTTAGTGCATTTGTGCAACTGTGTATATCTGAAGGAGCTGGAGCGTAGCATGGAGCTGAGCAACAGTAGTTACCAGAGGCAGTTGGCTGCAGAGAGGAAGAAGACCATCAGTGCCCAGGAGGAGATCAGGACCCTGCAGGAGGAGCTGGAAAGACTGACAAGTAAACTTAAGGTGCATACACACAAAAACATACTTCAAATAGCCACTGAAACAAATTGTCTTCCTTTTATGACTGTGCATTAAGAGCAGCTTGGTCCATGTATAACATTTTGGTTATTTTTGTTTTCTTGTAGGAGAAGGAGAGAGAACTAGATACCAAGAACATTTATGCCAACCGCATGGTGAAAGCCTCAACAAGAAAAGATACTGACAGTTGCGCAAAGCGGAAAGGTAGGACTTAACTGTTGGGTTCTGTCTATTTATCACAAAACCTAGTAATGCTTTTATTGCTTCTATGGTCATGGAAGACGTGGAACAGTCAAAAGAAATTTTGTGTTTACCAAGCCTGTTACTGTCCATGTTCGTGCAGATTTCAATGGGCCTCAAGGAAAATTTGTTAATCTAAAAACTTTTATCACTCAGAGTTTATCAACAAAAAATGACAAACATAGATGCTAATAAATATTAGTGCTCTTTATCAAGGCATGATGAGGAATAGGTTTAGCAAAATTGGCTCTGACATATACTCTGCTTTTATTTGACATATAGTCCCCAGCAGGAACAGCACCAAGGCAGTGCAGACTGAAGACAGGGGATCTAGTCTTGATTTCCCCACGCCTCCCCCCGCCATCACTGATGCCAATGATTACAGTGAACAGGGACCCGATGAATACCTATCACTCAAGGTAAAGTGTCTTCCACTCACCTTTCCCTCTAACCACATTTCATCTTCTGCTTTACTACACAGTTTACCACATTTATTTATCATTCACCTGCTGTAACTCTTTCCCTCGACAGGAGCTTGACAGAGTGGACAGACAGGTGGAGACAGAAGACAGGCATCCGAATTGGGAACAGCAGAAGATGAGAGACAGGGAAAAAGAAAGAGACAAGGAGAAAGAGCAGGAGAAGGACAAACGGCAACTCAACCAGGAGCTGAATATGCTTGAAGAGAAGGCAAAGAGAATAAGAGACGGTAAAGACAAAAGTATACGTACACATACTTAAATACTACTTAATTGCATGAATTAGTAAAAAGCATGAGAAAGCAAGAGTGATTACTTTTACCTAAAGGTAACACACCTTGTCCACAGGCTGGGAGAAAGAAGACAGAAAGAAGGCAAGTTCCCTGTTTAACCAGAAGGAGGAAGAGAACAACAGGAAGCGTGGTCATGTCCAGGAGGAGGTTGACAAGTGGAACCAGGAGGCTCTGGCCAATCAGCAAGTAGCAGAAGAAGCATTTCACAAAAAAGAGCAACTGCTGGCTAAGATGCGTGAAATAGATCGCCAAAACCAGGGAGCTCTGGACTCCATGTTTGCTGCTTCGAGTTCTTCTGAATCCATTAAGAGTACCAGTGACCATTCTTCTCCTCGTCCTCCTGAGCAGAGGAACCATACCTCTTCAATTTTCAGCCTCACAGAATCTGAGGTGTTGGCCAGTTTGCGTGCTGGTGCTGGAAGCAGAGAAGGTGGAAGGAGAAGACCAGGCGTAGAGGGTGGAGCAGTTACAACAGGAATGGGGAGAAGAGCAATACGCACCCAAATCTCCAGTGATGACTTGGCGTTTGGAAGCTATGCGCCTTCTTTTGGACTTTCAGCTTCCCGGGGATCTTCTGGTTTCCCTCCACCTCCACCCAAAGAGGATAGGGACTCTGCATTAGAAGCAATAGGTGTTTTTAGTCTCAAAGGGGTGGAGACAGAAAAAGAAAAGGACATGGAAAAAGGAATAGGGAAGGACAGGAAGTCTAGCCTCATGCAGCAGCTATTCGGTGCCCTGGCCACAACAGCTGGTGACTGTGTGGGCACCTCCAATACAATGGAGGTCCTCAGTAGTCCTCCAAATACCAATGGAGTACGTTCAAGAAGGGACGGACTGTTCAGCTTCAGCTCAGGGTCTTCCACTCCTCCAGCATCCTCTTTAAGCACCCTACATGTAGCAGATAGCAGACCTGCCATCCGTGCCATCACCTCATTTGATGATGACATAGAGGAACTGACTTTATGAAAGCAATTTGGACCAGAGGTACTCAGTCTCATAGTACGTAATCACATCTGTCAGCTAAAAAATTAGACACCATGGGATGATTTCCAAACTATAAGAAATTAAGTGAAAAACCTGGTCTATAAATGTTGAACACTATTGACATCCCAATAAAAAAATTCGCCATTATAACAATACCAAAGGTAGTAACTGTCTGCAAAGTATCTAAAATACTATTTGACTATATAAATGAGAAACAATTTAGCCTGTGTGACTGTCTTTAATGTTTCATCATGTAGAAAATGTAATTGAATGTGGTTTTCAAGCATTCAGGTGACTGTACAGAAATTTTTGACCCTTGGATTTGTTTTAATACTAGTTGCACTTTTTATGACTTTTATTTGTTGCATTTGTTAAATCTGAAGACATGTTTCACTGGTTGCAGTCCAGATTTCCAATCAGAATTTGACTGGTAGTTGATGTGAGCAACACAAAGTCTGCAAAGCTGCAAGACAAAGTGTCCCCGCACCTAGAACATTTGTCCAATAAACACAGAGACCCGACACACAAGCAATACAGACACACTGAAACTGGATGCAAATCACATTTACATTTCACATTTTAGTGCTTTGCCATATTTTGTAGTAATAAAAGATAGGTTGCAGTTATAATTCGTTGGTCAGGGATCCTGGATATTTTTTTTGTATCTTACTTGAGCAAAATTTATTCCATAAAATTTGGTAATCCTTTAAATCTTTTATAGTCCATGCCAAAAGAATTTACCACTGAGTGAAATGACAATCATTCTATTTGTAGACTGATTCCTGAATGAATCACCAGCACTAAGATATTGAGTGTTTGCCACTAAAGATTCAGACCCACTAACACCAGCTCACTTGTCCCTCCTTAAACAGTGAATACCTATAATTCCTGGCATGTTTCAGGGCCCTTATCCCCTGCACTGATATGTCTCCTGATGGCTGCACTACACTGACCCGACAATCAGTACTAAAACAAACCACCAGTGGCTGTAAGAGAAGCTACCTGTTGAGATTCAACTGTATTGAACAAAATAGACAAAATTTTTATCTCTATTTATTTAGTTATGTTGTATTCACAGAACTTACATTCCAAAATGAAAAAATCTTTGTAGAATCGTTCAGCAGCTCTTACCACACTAAATCAGTATATTCTTCCGGATATCTCATTTTTACACGTTTGAGGAGCTCTTTGTATTTATTCTTTCCAAATTTAATATAGTCATTTTCGTAAGGGAAATATGTAACCAATGAAAAATTTCTGGTTAATATTTTGTACTTATCCAATTGTATTGTTTTTTAAAGTTGTATTTGTTGTATTTTGTTGAATGAAAATAAATTATAGTAAGAGTGAAACTGTTGCCTGCCGGTTATCAGACTGTGGCGCACTTGCAGTAATATTCATGCGGCGGGAAGTCTGATAGGGATTCCTGGGACGTCTCCAAGCAACCAGAACCTGACGCAACGTTCCCGCCCCTCCTCCGGTAGCTGTCTGCTCAAAAACAAGTGGACCGTGGAGCTGTGGAGGGGATAATATCAGAGAGAGAGAGAGAGAGCTGGAGATGGTCTTTCCTGATTCAGGGAGTCTGAGTACAAGTTGAACCGCTGCTGGGAGATTCCTACCAGGTAAATCAGCCTTACGCAGTTTGTGTTGGTGTGTTTCAGATGTTGCCGGTGGGTTACTCACCATACAGCAAGGCTTCTAGCTAGAGGAGGCTGGAGTGAATGAGTGCTCACGTGTAGAATATGTGGAAGTAGCATCACCCGGTTTAAGTAACTTAAACATTTCAGTCTTTTTTTTTTTAAATCTTAAAGTTTTTACAGAAATTACTTTAAGCTATTTAAAGAACCACGTTATTGTGGTGAGATGAAATAGAATGGGCAGCTTGAAATTAGGTTGTTATTACTAAACCTGGACTCAACTTTATATAACGACATTCCCCCTTTATGAGCTAAACTGAGACTAAAACAACCTCAAGTGAATTATTTAAGAAAATAAGGTTTTAGTTGTATTGTATCCAGCTGTTGATGTTATTTCCCACCATTTCTCCTTACTAAATGCTTACTGTGTGTTTGTGTGCATGTGTTATGCATGACTGCAACCCATCCCACATAATTAAACAAACATCAAATTTCAGGTTGTATAAACCCTGTTTAACTGAAGGAATGATGGCAGACAGGAGGAATTATGTTTGATGCTCACAGCAGGTTCACAATGATACTGTAACAACTGTCTGTGAATGTGCCAGTTCTTTAAATTCATCCCTCCTTTTCTGAATACAATAAGAAAAGAACACCTGTTGATACTTATAGCCAACAAGGTTTTCTCTCTCCCTCTGTTGTGATTGGTGTAGCCTGTAAATGTGGTACTGTGTGAACTTAAGACTGCTTTATTAAGTTTCTGTTGCCATAATGAAGGAATCCAATGTGCCACAGTAATGTGGTGTTTACCTTTATGAATGGCTTTTGTGTTAACATAGACTTTTCATCTCTTTGAGCTAACCCATGATACTGCTAATGATTTCTATGGATAATGCTCTTACTCTCTTGTACTGTATATCAACACTGCAGATTGAAATTCAGTACCTCTGAATGGGAATGACTCAGAGGCAGGTTATGTTATAGATTGGAGAGATACACACTAAAGCCTGATTAGTTACCCCGAGGTCACATTTGTTGTCTGCATTTTCCAGATAGGAGAGCCAGACTTCCTAAGCTCTTCAGCCAGATGAGGTTTTGGCATTTCATGTTCCAACACCGCAAAAATAAATTTTATTGGTGTGGCAACACTGCAGCTGGATGTTGCCGAGCAATCAAATTCTGCAGCCTTGAAACCATAGGAATGTATGGGTGATGCTCTGCGATTTGGATGCCAGTTAGGACATTTGGATAATGGGGATAAATAATCATTTTAGATTAGTCAGCGTGTGCGTTTGCCCCAGGCTGCATTTGACATTCAGGATGTAAACTTTGTGTCCCTTGAGATGAAGATTTCCTGCTGGTCTATTGAAAAGTGGCTGGGTTCACCAAAGGTGCCTCTTAAATGATCAAGCAGCCAAAGAGAGGCTGGTTTACTGTTATGATTTGAAACCCTTTATTTCTTCATAACTGTGATCATAGCGCGTTGTGTAATATTTGCTTACACACACTTTTCCCCATCTTTCTAAACCTCTTAGCTCTGCTGTTTCCTTTTACAATCTGAATCACTTCCTCACTGTACATACATGGTCTTTACAGACTCTTTAAAAATGCATGTGGCATGGATTTTCCTTATCCTTTATTTGTGTCCTGTAACAATGTGGTCTCCAGAGACACACTGATTCCTGTAGAAAATAAGGAGAGGATCCATTCCTGCACATTCATAAGTCAGCTACTATGCACACAGTCAGAGGTCTATTTTACCTTGCAAAACAGCCAAGCCTATCATTAGATACAAGGGCAATGACTTCACTGCTGGTGTGCTGTACCCATTATGGAATAACTGAGTGCTAACCACTTACTGAGTGCTTGAGGACTTTGTAAGAAGACACTGGGCAGAAAGTCTGCTTTTGCTGCCGCTTTTTTAAGTGTGTGTTTGCTATATCATTTAAGGGGCTGCATTAAAGATTTAGTTTGTGACTATTTCCTGAGTTAGTCTTGCTTCTGGGCCTCCAGACTCACCCCAGTGTTTCTAAAATGGTCACCCCTTAAAAATGTAATGTAACTTTTTTGCCATGTGAGCAGCCTGACTTTTCCTTCCGTGCCATGAGGTTGATATTATTGGTTTTAAGTTAAATATCTTCATAAATATTGGATGGATTGCCTTGAAATTTGGTGCTTAGGTGACAAAATCCATGTCATATAATGTGCTTTTCCTTAAAAAAAAAAAGAACTACAACAAACAACTAACTCTACCCATGTGGAGTTGTTAAATATGCCCACAATGATCAGAGTCCATTAAAATTATATTTGAAGCATCAGTGCAACATATGTTTTGAGCTGTAAATAGAAGGGTTTCTGTAAAGGAGCAAGTCTACCAGCCACTGTGCCCCGCTGTTGTTGCTATGGTGACGATTTGTTCCTGTTAAATGAAAATCTTCGAGGTGTGTTCCCTCAATGTGCTTCTCCATTAATATTTGACATGCAAGAAGCCAAATGCTCGATCTACATCAGTTTACAGCATTACAGTAGAAGGTGAACAAACTTTCAATATAATCCCCATTCACTCTTATGTTATACAACTGTTATAGAACTGAGCCTGTCATGCCAAAGTTGAGGTGCAGCCTTCTTGACAGATGTCATATCACTTGTGTCGCTTGTCATTTGGAAATGGTTGTCAGTGGTATTGTCAGCAAATGTTTCATAACTTGCTTCTTCTCTCCTCTGCAGTTTTTAAGATTATCTGCCTCTGAAACACTGATGGATCCATTAAAAATCCTTAAAGATTGACTTGCCTGGCAAATAGCAGATAAAATAGATGCAAGGACAAAAAGTCACAACAATTGTTATTTGGAACAAGAGAGAGGCCCCCAATGAAGAGCAGATGTCTTTCTTTTTTATTTTGACACATTTTTGAGGAGCTTCTTGTATTCAGCAGATTTACGATGGACGCCCCCTCGTCTCCTCAGATCATGGTTGACAGGGTCGGTGTCTCAGACCAAGCAGAATGTGGGGAAGATGTGGATTTGCCTACAGATGACCATCTCGTGACCTTGAAGGCCTTGGCAGAGAAATTAAGACTGGAGACCCGGAGGCCTTCTTACCTGGAGTGGAAAGCCCGGCTTGAGGCAGAAAGCTTCAGAGAGTCAGGAACTGGAAAATGCCCGATTCAAATGGAGCCTGAAAGGAAACTAGTCGCACCCAGGGAGGCTGTCGTCAACTCTGATGTGATTCAGTGCAAGTTGCCATCAGGTGTGCTGAAAGGATTTGGGAATATCGATGAGGCTCTGAGCTGGCTCAGGAGGGAACTGGTGAGACATTGCTACTTTACAATGTACAAATTTGTCATTGATTTTCCCACTTATTTGTTTAGATTGCACATTTCAGAAAGTATTGTTGGACACTTCAAGATTCAAATACACATTATTTCACATTTTGAAGAAAAAATACTTGCGGTTAAAGGCCAGAGACAAAACTGAGATAACTTCATGCCACTTAGCCAATTAGAATTTAACAATTCACACAATTACCGTCCAGAAGAATCCAGTCAAATTAGTGAGTGGCATTGATTGGGTCTCAGGCAGTGGCATCTGACATTTCTTACACACAGTTTTTGCAATTCTAATCATTTTACTCTGCTCAATTACACAGCACATTCACCCACGCTTCATAAGCCTGGACTGAGCACGCAAAGAGGCACTGACAGAAGCAGACTCAAACTCGCACAGTATGTGGCCACAAACATTTTGCACAAAGACAGTGGACACAAAGAGATAAAATTGAGAGAGCTTATGTTGAGCAACTTGTTTATGGATGTCCCACTGTGAGTTTTCTTTTTAGATTTTATCACACAATAAGGACTGAAAGCATGGACCTTCAGCGAATCTAAACCATGTGAACTATGGATAATCTGTTGTTTGATAGTGTTGAAACATACTGAGTAATAAAAACGGTTAAACATATAACTAAAATTATGTTTAGAGCAATAGTTTGATATTTTGTGAAATATGCCCAATCGCATGAGGTGGGAAGTTCGATACCGCCCATTTCTGTGTGCTCAATATCAAACTACAGCAGGAGACAGTTAGCTTAGTAAAAAAAAAAAAAAAAGTGCCTCCCAGTAACTCCAAAAATCACTAACATTTCCTGTAAAAGTGTTTGTTTTAGGGCTGTCTCTTATTTTAATTATCAGTTAATCTGCCAGTTATTTTCTTTGATTAACCATCTTGTCTGTAAAATGTTTGTTCTTTTGTCCAATCAACATTCAAAACCCAAAGGTATTTGGTTTGCTATCATACATGACATGTAAAAGAAAAGATATAACTAAACCATCTCCATGACAACTGAGAAAAAAGAATTGCTATTCAAAAGCATAGCGACATTTTCGGTGGTATTTTTACTTGATTACAACATTTAATCTTTAAAATTCTAGTTGATGAACTGACTCATTAATTAATTAACAGGTGGTTTGAGCACATGTTTCCATCTTTGTGTCCCTTCATCTCTGTCTTGTTTTCTGCAGACCGACATGCGCTTGCAAGACCAGCAGCTGGCGAGGCAGCTCATGCGGCTCCGCAGTGACATCAACAAGCTGAAGATTGAGCAGACGTGCCACCTGCATCGCAGGATGCTCAACGACGCTACCTTTGGCCTGGAGGAGCGGGATGAGCTGTCAGACCTGCTGTGTGAATGCCCGGTGACCCCGGGCCTCGGCCTCTCTGCCCCGCTGAGACTCATTGGTGTCACAAAGATGAACATTAATTCTCGCCGGTTCTCGCTATGCTAGTGGGTCCTGAGACCTGAATACAAAACAGCTTGTCTACACGCCAGCCTTGGCCATATATTAGTGATGAAATCCTTTGTGCATTTAGGGCTTGACCACGTTGTTGTGAGGCCCTATAATCAAAGAGAGAGATTTAGGTAATGCATATAATTTAGAAGAAGAGTTTGACTGTAGTAATTACATATATAATGTTCATGCCACTAAACCTTACACGGCAGCTATATACAGCAACCTTTCTGTCTTAAAACCGCAGCTGATTTTAGACCTTTAAGGCCATCATGACCTGAAGCACAAAACTAGTTTTTAAACTGACTGAGTCACTAGTTAGTGACTGAAGTAAATCACTTTCAAGCTTATTAATATTGTTACCACTTACCTTATACTGGGGTTAAACTGGGGTTCTCATGATTTCTGTCTACAAGCCAAGATTTATCAAGCAGAGGCCGAATATTTAACCATTACTGCATACAGACCTCTGTATGATGCTTTCAGTGACAGTTTACTTTATGGAAATGTTTAGTGCTTTTAAAAAAGATGCCTTAATGTTGATTAGAATGCATATTTTATTTAGCAAGTAGTAATATCAATTTAGGGAGTATAGTTTTTTTGTAGAATATGGAAATGATTTATTCTTTACAATGGTTGTCAAGTTGAACTAGTTTTCCTTTCGGTTGGAGTTGGCCCTTTTCTCTTACGGTTGAACTCCAGCCAGGAAGTAACCATTTGAGATTGCATTGTCTGTTTGAATAAAAAACATGTTGTAGTTTCATGGATAAAGATTGAATTATAACCCACTGTACCCAATGACACAATTAGATGGCTCTTGTTAAAACTCTGTTGGCTAGTTCTCTGGTTACTGTATAAATTGATTTAACATTGTATATATATATATATATACTCTGGGTTTGGGGGGCTTGCATTTGAAATGTGAGCATATGATATTCAGGTCAGCTATTTCCTGCCTATCTCTCTCTCATTGCAAAATAAAAAAAATAAAAAAAACTATTTACCCAATGCACAGACCATGCACTAGGGAAATGAGTTTCAGGGTTTGAGATGCCTTTCCCTGTGGCCCAGATATGCTATAATATGTTCTGAACAAAATCACAAACACACCCCAACATCTAATTTTGTTTACAACATCTTATGTCAACCTTTGAAATGAGGACTGACGTGTGTTACTGCTCAGGCCATTCCAACATTATATGATCAACTTTCTGTACCGACACAATACTTGGCCTTTGGCACAGTGTGCACCGTCCCGGGAGCAGTGGGCACAACGCCACCTGGCAAGAAAACAACTGCTATGTCGACTTGATCTAGTGTTAATAAGCCTATAATCAAATGCAACATGCCTTAAAACTGGTTTGGTAAAATATAATACCCTTAATGAGTCATTGTCAGTGCTAACATCTTTTCACAAATGTACTGAAAGTAAATAATAAATCAAGAGACCGGATGTATTACTTTTTCAGCCTTTAATTTGCTGTCATCAGAACAAAATCTCACCAATGACTCTTGATTTTAACTTTTGGCCAGAAAGTGTTGAACTATTCCTCTAAGCTTTGGAACATGACATGAATTGTCATCCCACCTCCTTTCTTCAAATTAGCCTCAGTCGTTTTTGCGCTAATTCCTTTGTTCTGCAAATACTTGTCATTTGTGCATACTGTGCAAGAACTTGTGTCAACAGTTGGGACCAGCTCCTGGCTCCCAGAGCTTTGGGTACATGTGAAGACATGAGCATCGAGGTCATGAGTTTTTGCATGTGAGTGTCAGTGTACCCCATTCGCTGATCCCTGTGTCCTAGAGAGCCTCAAGTGGCATGTAATGAATGACTTTGTTGAGCCCGAGATTTTCATGCATGAGCTCCAGCTTTATGTGGGCTTATCACCGCTGAAAGCCACAACTCCTTTTGACTGAAAGGCTGCCAAAGGGGCCATCACATACATTTTCTAACAAGCTGCTGGCGGATCAAGGTGGTTTCATTTCTTATTCCTTTTTGATGACTTTTTTTTTGGGGGGCGATATTCAAACTGTTATAATGAGGTAAATATTGTGCAGCATTTTCTAAATCCAAAAACAGTCTGCTCCAGAGAAAAGGGAAAACAAAAAGGACTTGTTTAGACTCCAGCTCTGCCCAACAGCTGTCCCCGGAGTTTGGCATTTATTAATTTCATGCCTAAACCATCTCATTTGCATAACAAAATTACTTGACAGGCATAAAATCAAGCACTATATCTGCTGTTGAAGCATGAAGACCAGATACTGTATAAAGCGGCAGTCCTGATGCCAAAATTAGGCCACGTTGAGAGTTTAAATAAGCAGTTGGATTCAGATGATTTGGACGTAAGCACTTTCCTCCAGTTTGATTTTTAAATATCTTAAAGAGGGATACCATCAGTTAATTTCTATTTTTAACCGTTTGTCTACCAAGAGCTTTTTTTCTGATGTTCACGCCTGAGAATGTAGGTGCCATTCTGTTCCAGGAATATAACAGATGTGACACCACAGAGAGGCACTTCTCACCATGACTGCGCTGCAAACTCAAGCATGAATGGCTGACAGAAACCTCAGCAAGGTGAACCACAGGGTGAGACTGGCGAGAATCCCAGACTGCAGTATTTGTGGAGGAGTGTCTCGGTACATCTCATCTCAGCAAAGATTTACTGTAAGGATGAGATGGTTAAAGACAAAAACACCACAGTCCAGAGAGGAACACAGACAAAGAGGGTTTAAATGCATTAGTTATGTTATAAGTTAGTCACCATGTTTGGATGTTGACTTAGGTGATGTAATGAAAAAATTTCCTATTCCCTCATTTTTGACAATGCAACAGCTAGAATGTTTCCTGATCACCATTAGTGATTCAGTGGAAAACAGTTAACAAGCAAACACTCATTTTTAATGGAGTGGAAATAAGAGCTGAATCAGACTGTTTTTGTTGGAGAAACAAGGCACACTGCAGACACATGGGGCTTTAAACTTGACCACACAATTAAACCCCTGGAGTGTTGAGCCACTGATTTTGACTGTGTTGGATATTGGAAAATAGATTTATAAAGGTCAGAGGAACACTTGGACCAGCTCCTGGACACATATTAAACATGTCCAGAAGCTAAAAATACCTTCCAAACCATTATGTGGAACATTAATTTGAAGTAAAGCCCCTTGCTTGCAGGTTTCTTTTGATTTTGGATAAGGCAATGTGCCCTGTGTATGATTTGGCCAGCGAGCATAACTTACAGCATGGGTTAATTGTTTTTACACATGTAAAGCTTAAACTTGTATTCAATTATTTTTTAGCCATTTGGGGAAGAGAGACCCTAAAGAGCTCCATAGAACTGACAACTGAGCTGGGTGATGATTCACTGTGGCTCCATCACTACAAGTGACTCCTTTAACATACAAGTAGTCAGGTCATCCAAATCAAATATTAATAGCGCATGGTCGACCAAAACTTGACAGAATCAATTAGCAGAAAGTTAAGGGAGGTTATTTCAGAATGTTTCTACTTGGGCTTTATTCCTATGAAACTCTACCAAAGCTCAAATGAAGTAAATTGTATTAAAAACTGAACATCATCAGCTTTTCTTAAATCATTGTCTCTACTATCCATTTGAGGTTGCCTGTCCAGTGTAGTCACAGACCTCTAGATTTACTCCATTTACCATTATGGCAAAAATCCATTTTCATTCCTGACTACAATCGTCATGTAACTGAAACAAGTAAATAAATGCAACTATCTGATTCATCTTTATGAGGCAAGCTCATGCAAGGTGATACATTTACTGTAGAGGCTCTACAGGGGTTCCAGTCGAAAAGATAATTAGCAACCTCATTATAAAACAGCATGGGAACTTTAAATGAGTTAATTAAACTAACTGATCTATTTAATAATTATGTGCTTCCAATGAGGCATTGTAATGAGTCATTCTGTTTGGGCTAAAATTGTATTAAAATGACAATTTACAGGAGGCCAATTAGGACTCCTCCAAGTACTGTGAGAAAACACACAGAGATCAATTACACTGAGAGCATGTCAAAAACAATCATTTACTCTCCTTCTGTGCCAAAACAATGTAGACACATTGTCACAAACGGGTGCAACTTGATGTGAATAGTCTGTTAGTGTGATGAGAAAGAATCTGTATTTGCACGGTGAGATCATAGGCTTCTGGATTATCTCATCCTTTTGTGTAAAGCAGACAGTGTGTCTCAAGTCAGATAGGCTATTTGAGCCCAGGTGTAGTGTTCCAGTCTGTGCATGCACTCCTACACCTCTGCTTCAGTCCCACAACAAACATGACACAACCCAGACAATGGGCAATCATCTTTTGCTTCCAGTATGTTTTGTACTTTCAAAACTTACTGGGGAAGAAAAAAAAATGAAACGGTAGATCTGTGAGGGAAATGGTTTAAAAGCCTGGTGAGTGGCTTCACAGAATGGAATGTGCTCAACTCCAGCTGTCCTGCCAATTTCTTGTCCCTCAGACTCACAAAACTAATCCCCAACTTTGAGGCTATTCAGCAACATCCAGCGTGACTGCTTTGATGAAACTCAGACTGAAGTTTCACAGCAGCTTAGGTGCATCCAAGCAAATGATCAGTCAGAGGGGATCATAGTCAAGATTATAAAATGTTCACCTCGTGTCAGTTTTGCTGTAAGAAAGTCAAATTAAATGAGGAGGTTACTCTCACTTCAAACTGCTGATAATGCAGCAGACAGGTGTAAACGAAAATCATTCATTTGACATGATGATGCTTGTAATTTTACAACACCAACAGAAAAACTGTGTAAAGGAGCTGTTATTTAATAACTATGATTTGCTCAACAACTGTAGGTACAGTTCATAATAACCTGTCTGTATGTGACAGACAGTTGGCAACAGTACTGCAGTGAAAAGGCACAATGACAGATGTAATGTCACAAGACACAACAAGATGACCTGCATGAGAAGAACAAACATCTAAAATCATAAAGTTACATCAGCCATCAACTAACTGGCTTTGTCAAATACAGTCCCCACTCAATCACAGACACTGAATGAGAATTTTGTTTTTACAGCATTTCCTTGGTCAGTTTGAATAAGGCAAAATTATATAAATGAGTAAACACATAACAAATGATAGTGTAAAACAAAGTGGTACACAAATCTTATTGAAAAACAAAATTATATATATATATATATATATATATTATTATATATATATATATATATTTATATATATATATATATATAGAGCAAAATGTTACACTCTCACAGCAAATGCACAAATGTGAAATAACTGAAGAAAACCAAAGTTCTTCTGGTGGATGAAGCTGATTGACCTATAGTAATACAAAAGCACAGCTTAAGTCTTAACCTTCTAAAACATGTACACAGTCCTCTGACAGATTCTCCAGTCTTTGAGGGTATTCAAAACAGAAACATTCTCAAAGAGTCTGGAGCTTTTCGCTACATTGGTGACAGCTGTGGCAGATACTGCCAATAAAGGATACAAAAATCAAAGAAACTTTAAAAACATATCAGAGCTTACGAATCCCTCTGAAATGCAAAAATAGCCAACTAACTGCATGTCATCTACAGGCTCTGCATAAGTGCATTTGTTGACTTCATGTTTTTGTGGTAATAAGCTGAGGTTTTCCTTGAGTGCGTAGGGACTATGGAATGTCCTCTTGACAATTAGAGGAAAATACAAGTAACCAAATCTTAGGTCAGTGCTAAGGACCACCTTCATCTGATCCATTCAGCTCATTTCTGTCTACTGATCATTTGACGTGAGGCCGTCAGTTTATGTCCTCACCTCTTGCAAATATATCTTTGTTCACCATGTCAGGGTGTCACTCCCTCCTGGTCCATACTGCAGCCTAGAGCCTCAATGTCATTACTGATGTCGGTGATCATTCGGTCCCATTCGTCACCCTCAGAGGCCTCCTGGCCCTCGTCTGAGGCCGCACTGTCGCCACTTCCTCCCGCTGCTCCGTTGCCATTGGTGGTGGAATCGGAGGCGGAGCTGGGCGTACGTCGATAGCGACCAAAGCTGTCTGTGATGATCCCTCGGCCGTCCTTGACACCAATGGTCTCAAGGAAATTCTCAAAGTGCTGGCTGTCCTTCTCTGGTATGAAGGGACGCAGGCCTGCAGGGGGCAATGAAAAGCTGTAAACACTAATGTACACACTAGTACTCATCACAAGGACACAAGTGTGTTTTGAAGTTTAATGCATATGATCATGGACTGTAACAAAAAAAAATGTTTCAATTACATATACAGCGGTAAGTGTATCTTACTAAGGAACAAGCAGCAGAGATATCTCATATTTTCATGTGGAGAAACGAAAGTTGGTCTGAAACTGTTGTGGTTAGAAATTGGAACTGATTGTGAGGTGTGGCTTTACTGTCATAGCCACCAAGCAAGACTGTGACAGCTCTGCTTCAATATTTCCCACCATCTACTCATAGCCTGACCTCAACAGCACATTCATTTTGGGGGCAGCCAGTAAGTGTTGGTCAACATATTGCAGTGTGATTGAATAAAAATAGCACTGAAAACAGCAAAATGCCAATGACCAAAGTTTAGACCAGTTTAATACAGTGGACAGAAAACAAAGCTTGTCCAGTGACATCAGTTAGTCAGCCCTCCCTGCAATATGGTTATGTTAAGAGTGGTCGTACCAAGTAGGAGGAACTTTCTGCTGTCCCCATAGAGTTGTCGCAGGTTTATGCAGAACTCATGGATGGATGCACCGTTACGGTATTCGTGGAGCAGGGTAGCAAACTGCTGGATCTCTTGCGATGACAGTTTTGTCCGCAGCTATGAAGGAAAGAAAAAAAAGAGAGACAGAAAAAAAAAAAAACAAGAATCAATAAAGCTTGAAAAAAAAACTTCTTGTTCTCAAAATCAGAAAGGGACAAAGAAAGAGAAAGTGAATCATCATACTGTAGTCATGTAGTCCTGCAGCAGCTCTGCAGCAGTGGTACTGAGCTCTCCTTCACTCGCGGTTTTTGTCTGCGGGGATGCTGGGGTGGAAGCTGTTGGGGAGTTTCCTTCTGCCTCTACAGAGACCTGGAAAGGACTGACACAAAAATGCATCCCTTATAAGTGACAAGTAAACAAATTACAGAGTGTCTTTCTAGAACACTGTACCTTAAATGGGAACAAAATAGAAATCTTGGACTATGTACTTACAATGAGTTTCCTTCTGCTTCAAAGGCCTCTTTAACATCGACTTTGCTTGAAGAGTCATCTGCAAAATTAAGGCAGATGCACATTTATATTTAGTTCTGAAATGTTAAAAGCTTGGGAGGTTTTCTATATTGCGCAGTACCTGGAGAAAAACAGCACTATAGCACTAAGCTATTAAACCAAATTAAATCTTACAAAACACATTCGTTATTCTTGCTAATACCTGAGAAAAATATGTGTGGTTCCTGTCTGTTTGTTTTTGTCTAGAGAACTGATCTATTCCTTACCGCTGTATAGAGAAAGGTGTCTTGTAGGTGTAGTTGCTCCATCAAATATGGCTCTGTCCAAGAAGTCGATGGTTGATTCTGTGTAAACAATCTGAAAGACCTGGCTGAGCAAAAGACACAGCTCCTCTGCTGCCGCCTGAAAGACAAGGAAAAAAAAAAATGTGTTAATATATTTTACATCTTCTTTATCAAAATGTCACCATTATCTTACAAATTCAATTGAATTGAAGTCTTCCATGACAATTTGCTGGAGTGTGTTATCTTTACTGTAATTATGATTTCTGGTCTTTACATCAATAAGAATGCATGAGCAAATAGCTAATTACATGCATCAGTCCAGATTGTGGTTTCCCGTACGCTCATTTTATTAAACTAGGCTTTCTGAACATTAGTTTTAGAAGTTAATAGCAATCTTGAGGATAATTTCCATAACTGATTCAGTTTACATTGACACTTAACAAAAAACACTGCAGGTGGGTTCACTAATTCACATTTTGAAGTCATCTCTGTTAGTTAATTTGTTGTATACCTTGGTTCAAAAGGCACTGTTTTCACCTGTGTAACCTAAATTAACTTAATAGATGAACCATGCATACTGCCACTTAGCTCTTCCAAACAGGCTTGTTGTTTGCATAACGTTGTATGCAAAATATTACCTTATTATCAACAGCCAGCACAAGCAGACAGCAGACTTCCACAAGCACAGCTCCACTCTCTGATAAGGAGCTCAGGGTCTGAGATTTGTTGAGATCAGGACACGAGCTGGGACAGGGGGAACCTCCTGACTCCTGGGCTAAAAAACACAGAAAAATACGTAGTTAAATCTCATTATTCAAATGTTAAACACAAACACAGTAGCACAGTAGGCACTACTAGCCTACATTTTTTAAATATTTGAATCCAAAACGCTTCTTCATTATTGGGCCATAATTTGATTATAATTTCACATAATTGATCATTACTCTCCCAAATAGATGCCAATTAAATGCAAGTTTTGACTGGAATTGACTCAAAACTGGATGTAAAATTATCAGATTCCTATTATTCCCTGTTAAGCAATTTGTCTTTGGCCAATTAAATAAGGACAAAGAACCAGAGGGATCTGGCAACATTGACTACAACTGTAAGTGTGTTACAACAGAACTGCAAGTAACTCCAGTCTAGATGATCACTGTGTGAAGCCCCTGCTAGAACAAGATCCTAAACTACTCCTCTGCGTGTTCTTAAGTTTCTGTAATCTTACAACTTTCAACAGTCTGACAAATTTTAGTGTCATTTTAACGTGTCTACTATTCCAGGAGCCAGTATGAATGCGTGTGTGTGTGCGTTCTTACCTGTTTTGATCACCACAAGGTGCAAAGAGTCATCCCTGATATAGGAGACAGCAGCAATATCATGGATGGGCACTCTCAGGATGATATCCTCACCATCACGCCATACAAGCTTTATGTTGTACGCCGACAAGCTCACCACTGCATCCTGCTCTGATGTCAGCTGGCCTGCCAACTGATGCGATTTCTGAGAATGACAGGGGCATACAATATGTGTAATTATCCCTGTTATGATAGACATCATAATACCATATCTGACAACTTTTCCAATTCACTACAAAGGAGTATAAACAATAAAGTTTTTTATGAAATGTATTCTCTTTGCATTTACAGACATATAGGTATTAAAGGATTTTAATTTATTACTGTTAATATCTCAGTAATGTAAAAACTATCCAACTAGTTTTAGAATGAGCCAGAGAGAGAAAGAGAGAAAGAGAGAGAGAGTGACAACAAGATCAGGTTGAATCTCCTTACACAGATACTTACTCTTGCATTGTCAATGAGCTGTAGCACTTCTGTGCGACTGGATGGGTTCAAGTATCCTGGGACTGATGTCAGCTGCCCCAAGTACTGAAAGACAAACCATACAGTACATATATAAAGTGTTTTATAAAGAAATGAAGAGATAATATATATATATATATATGTGTGTATATATATATATATATATATATATACACACACATTATCTAAAGATTCCTCCATCCTTTTAATATATAGGTGTGGGTTTTCTCTGCTTATATTTCACACTCACTTTGACCTCTTTCTCAATGTAGTCATTAAGCAGGATGTCTGGGTCAATGCGGTGGTCAGGCTGAGAGAGTGAGAAGGTGTGGAGGGCCCTGCGCTCCGTGGCCTTCTCCTGGGCTTTCTTGTCTCTCCCCTTCTCTCCTTTCAGGAAGACTCGTTTGAACGGAGACACGATACCAGGCTGGTGAATAAAGACAAAGAGGAAGGAGAAATTAGAAGATTGTTGTAACCACTAGCATAACTGTGCTCTTTTGTTATTAATTCACCTTCCAAAATGAAATACACAGTTCATATAGATACACTACAGCATGCCATACTCTTTAAAAACCAGTGGCACTCTATGATCCTCTGTGACAGCATATCATTAATCATTACAGTACTTTTTATGTCCAAAACACATGTGATACAGTTAAAATGGGTTGGCCACACTGTAAAGCACCTCCGACGCAGCTACAAGTTAAATGTGCCCAAAAACCAAGAGGAAGCTATATCAAACTTCTGTTGACTGTGGTACTTGTATGCCTTGTAATTTCTGCTGATCCTGCTTCCCCTGACTGTGCTGGTCGCTGCAGAGTAAGATACAGCAGACTGAGAGTACAAATGTACAGCCCTTCGCATTACCCAATGTGTTGCTGCTCAAATATTTAAAACAGCATGAGCAAGAGGAAACTCAGTATTTTGCAATAATCAAGATGTTTGCAGTTGAAGCCAATGTAAAACATCATTAAACAACAGAATCCGATCTTGACATCAAAATGATGAACATCTACCTCAGACCCTCAATGAAAGCTGCCATAGATGTGTCACAAAAGAACAAGATATTTTTTTTCAAAAATGCTTCTGCATATACTTAAGGAGCTGTCCTTTGCATTGCTCACCTATAACCAGTAGAAAAACGTCAAATTATATAATATTATTATTTCACTTTAGTATCAACTGGCACAATGTAAACACTGTGACTCTATTCAAGAGCTCAGATAAGTGTACTTACCACAAGCACTGATACAATTTACCCATGGTGTTAAGTCTATGAAAAATAAAAAACATTTCAAAGCATATTTCTAGATGGAAAGCATTTGAAAAAGCCTACCTCGTGCTCCATGAGCCCACACGCTTCAAGAGTAGCCTACTCAACGGCAAGCACGTAGCCTGGCCACAGATGCTGCAACGCTCACAATGTCTAAACAAGTCACCTGTTGCCTCTGCTCACAGAGTTACAGCTGCTAACTGGTGAGATCGACACACAGGATCAAGCACTGCCTGAACATGTATGAGAGGGGTGTGACCCCCACAAAGGAAGGGAAGTGTTTCTGTCTCTCTACTTAGGCACTAGAACAGGAAGGGGACCAGCCACAACTTCCTGTGATGACACGCACATACGTGCACTGAATGTTGAAACGCTTAAAACCTCCAACACATTATTCTTGTTTTTCTTCACAGAAGTCAAAGACAGACAAAAGAGAATAGTGTGGTGACAATTATGTTCATTCCACACCTTCAGATTTTATTGTGATGTGATGATTTCTTTTTTCCATTACTCACTCAGAAGTCTGCAACTGAACGTCCATACACATCACTGCTAAACCACAGATATAAAACAGTGTATTAGTATATGTATATGTCCTAACCACAGCTGTTACATTTGCAAAGCTGTTTACACTGCATGCTTAATATACACAACAGTGCAGACTATCTAATGTAGGTTTTGTGGACTTAGTTCCTTTTTTTTCCAGACACTATAATTTGGCCCCTTCCTGATGTGATGACACTTCATCACAGACTTAACACATCATAGAACAACACAACCTGTATGGCCAGTACATTATTTAACAGTATGTAGCTCCTGAAGACAAGTGCATTAACATTTTATGGCCTTTCCTTGTGAAATGTGAGACGAGAGCTACCATAGCTGACCCCGGTGAATGGCCTCAAGATGAACAGTGCCTTTAATGGTGAAAGTCTGTTAACAAAGAAACATAAGTGAGGATACTGTATTGCTTCTTTCTGATGTGGTGACCAGGGTGACAACAAGTGTAGGCAGACTTTTAAACTTTCTCACACTTAAGAACAAGGCATGAAAACTTAGATCAAGTGCAGCAGAGGATGCTGTGACAAGACAACAATGCTTTTGCCCTTGCATATGGCTTACAGTTGCCACTTCCCACATGTTTGAGTTGTCAAACCTTCGAATCCTTGGCTAGGCTTCATATTTGGGGTTGTCAAGCACAAAACATTTACCCATTGTGGCCTTTCAGGCCACACTCTTACGTAAACAGATGGATGAAGTTCTGGGCATAGAGGCAGTTCTACATAGGAGTGTGTGTTGAGACGCACGCCATACTTCTTGCATTGCTTTTAGCAAGACCTAGCACATGCTCTGTCACTCAGTGGTAAACATTTTGGCTGCGCTGGCTGCCTGCTCCACACACCATGAAAAACGCTACCTGTATGATCAACTGAATTTTAGAAATTTTGAATTTTGTATTTAAGGGCTGGAAACACAAACACAAATATTTTTCCATACTGTCTTTTTTTTTTTTTTACTTCTCCAGACCTGGAAATAGCTAAAACTGAATTCTATACTTTTCCATACTATGAACCCTGCTAAGTCTTCTATAGTGGCCCTAAGGTGAAATGCTAAGATATTTTCCTGCCTTTCCAGGGCGGCAGCACCTCCGTTATGTAAAGCTGCTCTTCACCCCGTCAGTGTTCGTAAGACACTCATACTACTCAAGCTAGGCTGAAAGCAAGCTAATGCAGCATATGTGAGTGTACAGGAAACTTTCACTGTGCTATATTCCAATGAGGCAATTCAGCTGTAAAATTCATCTCCAGATATGCATCTAAATTTCATGCTATGACTCAGAATCCTTGACAAGTAGGAAGCCTTTATAAACAAGTTTATAAAAATTAAAAAGTAAAGTCAAAGTAACACTATCATATTATCATGTGAAAGGGTCTGTGCTTTCGCATGAACCTGTGTGATCATATAAAGCTCCATACAGAGAATGTAAAAATACACCTGGGCCAAATGCTAATCATTATCACCACCAAGTGGCACAAACAAGAACTGTACTGATGATAGGGCCCCTTAAAAGTTAGCACCAACTTCATATCAACAAGTGAAAATAGAGAAGGAATTATTTTAATTTGAGGATATTTGACTTTCACAATAGCTAAAATGGCAAAGTCTTTAAATGTATCTTTAAAGAAGTTATTTTTCTTTTTGCTGACAGGCGAGGACTTATCAAGCTGATAGCACACTTCTGATCAGTTATAATTTCTGGAAAAATATTTCCTTGCCACTACAAACCTTCTGAACACTAGGCTATCACTCCATTTCCGTCCAAATTTCCTTTCAAATCAAAAGGAAGTTAATTAGATTGACAATAACATTAGTGTTATTGAAATGGAAAAATGATGGCATGATCAGCACAACCATAACAAAGACACTTCACTTCTCATTATGTTGCTCAGTTTGCAATCTTGTCATGAAATGTCGTGCCTGGATTTGGTGGGTCCGGCCCTTCAGTTTCTTCCTGTGCCAATCCTTAGAACAGGGGGAAAATGCTCCTTTGAAACAATAGGAAAAAAGGACAAAGGCATGTGTCCAAATGAAATGTCAGCTACATGTCTGCACATAAAGATCTGTCTTCCAACCAAGTGGGATCATTAGGTAGTATGTGTATGTACTCTATGTGTGATAGGGAGTTAGATGGTTGGTACAACCAAGGAGTGCTGGTTCCCTTTAGCATGACTGACACTGATAACCGCTGTCTTTGACAGCTGATGTTGAGCACGCAGGTCTCCCATGACCCACGCCTGAACATAACAATGAGCGTTATTACTCTGGAAAAGATGGCTATGCGTTTGCTGCCTTTTTTGAGAATACTGGCACCGCGATACAGTGTTGCGAACATCACCTTCACCGGTAAAAACACCACAGCGGATATAACATTAGCCTAATTTTACTCTGAATTAGAATTACCACAACCAACATCCACTACATTTAAACACATTTTTGAACTGTAGAGCGAACAAAGCGTGTTAAAGTTGGTGTTGGAAATATAAAAAAATGATAACAGCCCGAAGCTCATGGTAATCCTGAACAGAGAACACTTTAATTTATAACATTTCACTCGCTCTTTTAGGCTCAATCTGTTGCGCTTCACATTTATTTAATGGCTATTCGGTAAGTTAGGCGTTTGCCCGTTTTAAGTGACGCTGATTAACGGAGAAGACAGTAAATATGTCAGTGTGTTGTTGTGAGTACTTTGCCACTTTCCGCCGGTCAGCTAATTGACGCAAACGTAACTTGATGTTCGACTAAACTTAGCCATCTAACAGCTAAGCTAGTCTGCTCTGACTAGCTCACAAGTTAGCAGGATAGCCAGACAACTTAAGTAGCGTTATGCCAAATACCAGACTTACCTTTTTCACTTTTTTCACATCATCCTCCATTTCTATGTAAAGGTCCTCTTCTTCATATTCAGCTCAGCATGGAGGTCCAGGTGAGACGACACATAACCACCGAAGCAGAACACTCATCTGACAGTAGTTAGCCTGCTAGCCTATCTTAGCTTAGCCTAGCCTAGCGTACGTAAAGTGATGCCAAATTTGAGCCGATAGCAAAACGCCATGCCGGTGTTTGTCTTACTCCGAAACCATTAGAAAAAATGCAGGCGCACCACCAGTGTGAAAATTGTATGCTTCAGTACGGCTAAAACAATTAAAGAAATAGTCTGTTAAGAAGACAAACTCGGACAACACAGGCAAAACTTTTCAACCGTGCCGCCATTTTGGGCGTTGAACTGTGGTCCAGCATGCTTTGCTTTGCACAAACCAAAACAGCTGCTACTGTGTAGTATGATAATGATCATAACAACAGGATTAGGGGAAACCAGCCTGATGTGCTGTCAGTTCAAATTGTTAACAATAATAAAATAATCAGTTTATTCAATGACAAAGTCTCATCTCAGACCTAAATTATAGCCACAAATGCAGACAATGACTTTGCATAGGTGACTTACTTATCTTAGCTGTAAATGCCTTGTAATTGTTTCATTGCTACTTCTGATATTGTGTTGTATTTGCTTTGTTGTTTTCTTGCTACAGACTCACCTGTGCTTTTTCTGATCATCATTTGTGAAAAAAAAACATAAAAAACCTCATATTGTTTATAAATCCTTTGCATAATTAAGTCATGATCAAAAAGTGAGGGGCTTTCCCAAATAGAACTAGAGCAGAATATTATCAGTTGTCATGAAGCGACTATCAGCAGGATTCCTTCATGTCTTAGTGCTCAGTAAGCCATAACAGCTGTTGTTACTGTAATGCATTTGTCTAAATTTCTTGCCCTGAAAAGAGTGTTGCAAGTCTAAAAACACACAGCCTATACATGTTTCACTGTAATATTTGTGATGACAGTAAGAGACAATTTTAAGTGTCCATCAAAACAACATCTTGACACATTATTTACATTTACTGTTTACTATCCCTGTTTTCCTAGGACAAGAATAGGAACAGATAATCAAGACAGCAACAGCGAGAGAGAGAAAAACATGTATAGATACAGCAAGAGGAAAGTGAAAACGAGACCAATCACTCACAGGTTTGGCTGCGCATGAGTGCCAACCAAAGAAGGGTAAGTTCTGCACATGTACAGTAACTACAGTGGTATTTATTTACTTTTAAACTGTGCCAACTTCATCTGTTTTCCTTTTTTATACCTTTGTATAAAGCACATGAAAGGTTATGTGTCTGCTTGTTGTTTGCAGTACTTTGGGTAGTAGGTTCAGCTTTTTAGGTCAGTCATGATGGGCTTCTTTATCGTAAGGATTAAATGTTAAGCTATTTGGTCTGAATTTGTCATATTAAAGATCTGCATTCAACTATAACAATACACTTTCACAAATCCACTGCAAATAGTGATACAAGTGGACATCAATGCAGATGCAAAAGTAATACATTTGGTAATCCTATCTTGTCAGACCTCATGTGGCTTTTATTACATGCTATAACACAGTTCTCTGCAGATTATACCTCTCAATATATTGTATATTATCAGAAGAAACATATTGTGTCTGTAAAATTTGTCTATCAAAGGATGACCCCACATCCATCCTCTGCATATCCACTGACCCTAGAACTTCTCTTGCTGTAGTGGAGACTATACCATGTGTCAACAGCTATATTTATTCAGTAGTAATAGTTAGTAAAACGATTAGCAAAATGATTTGATCCAGTATTAGAAGCCCCTACACAATCATGGTCCAGCCACATAGGTGTTTTCACTTAAATTGCCCGATTAGCCTCTTCTCAAATTGATGGCTACCTCGCTTATTTCACTTATTCACTTATCTCGCTGGTTTTTTCATGTCAACTTTGACCTTCATCATTTTTATTCATATTTAATTGGAAAACTAAAAGCTCCAATGTGTGTGTACAGGGCTTTAGCAAACTAAATGAAAAATTTACTAGTCACAAGCTAAAACGTATGCTGTAAAGAATTATTTAGAGCACATTCAATAAACCCTTCTCCCCCCCTTTAGTTTAAACTGTGTACGCTAACATCTTACATCTTTGCAGGTGATATATTGCAGCCATTTTCGTCTGTCAAAATGTGAGAGGTGCATGTGAATACAGTACTGATATATTGCACTTTCAAATACTATATTTATTTTTCTCTTCTGGGATGAACAGTCTGATATATGAATCTACAGTAAGGCTTAACATTACATTTTCAGCATAATATTTCTCTTTTCTTCTAAAAACCAAAACATACAAAAAGAACTTTAGCACCATATGTTATTAATAATATTCATATTGTTCCCAAAAATAGGGCGTAGGTACAATACTGGACATCAGTTTTGCTTTTTTAAAGAATGGGGATTCCATGAAACAATTTACTTACATTTTATATTTAACAACAACAAAGAAATCATTCCTTATATGTTCTCAGTCACAACATAGGTTGTATGAGTACACTTTCATAAAGTTGCTACAGACTGTAGCGAGTTTGCTTACTGACATTGTGCCAACTTTTGGAATACCCCAGATAAATCATATAGCCTAGGGAGTATCCTGATAGGTTTGTGAAATACACCAACAAGCTAACACAATCTAGAAATTGATTGAATATAAACAAAGCAATATTTCCCAACACCTTTGATAACAATTTCAAAAATCAGCAGCAATTAATATGACAACCATAGTCGCTTCATTGGAATATCAAATCCATTTTTAAACAAAATATTACAGCCAATTCTACAATAACAACAAAAATAGATACACACAGATTAAGGACATATAGATGACAGGAATTTACAACACAGCAATCACGTTCTATATACTTTTTTTACTCAGATTCCATTAGCAGAAGTACATTTGTGCTCCTGTGCGTTTACCAAAAAGATGCATTTTGTCATCTGCCAGTTTCATTCTCTCAAAAAAAAAAGAAAAAGATCCTAGTGCAGATTGAATCATAGTAAAACAAAAACATACTGTATGTTGAAACCAGTATAATAAACATATGAACAATAGAGTAACTGTTGTTTTTCTTTGTGCAGATCGGAAAATCAAAATGGCACCATTGAGAGTTGAGTTCTGCTGTAAACTGTGTGGATTTGAGGTGCTAGCTTTTGAGCATTTTGAGACTGCAGGTTTGTAGGGTGCAGGTTCTCTCAGTCAACCGGAAGGCCATGCTCTTAGAAAGCCAAAAAGTGGACTCTGCAGTCCACAGTCGTAGCACCTTTCAAATGTATTTATTCAGCACCAGGTTATTAACAAAAATCAAAGGAGCAAACGTAAAAGAAGAAAATGCACCGTTTTATCATCTGAACATACTGCTTCAACAGCCAAACAGATGGTCATGACACAAAGGTACAGACTTAAACCAAGTCAAACACTACAATGGCCTGCTGCTACACATTAATGCAGAAATCAGAGGGTTTGTTGTGCAGTCAAGAGCACTTACATGCTAAATGTTGAGGGTCACCTCACAATGAGTTCTAAAGGCATGCTGGGAGGTGGTAGGAAAACCAGGAAATGAGGTTATTCAAAAGTGAATCAGTGATCGGGCCTGTTTCATCATTCCATTGTAAGAAAATGCAAACATAGGTGATTTTTTGCGCATTTTGTCATCACTGACTTCTTCCTCGTTTTATTCCAACTGCAGGCATTATTGTTTTGGCTAGAGGATGTATTGTTCACACGAGACAAACAACACAGAAAGTTTACGTCTTGGCACTACAAATCATTCATCATTGCAAGACAGAAGAAGATGTAAAGGCATAGACAAAAGTACAAAACAATCATTGACTAAATCGTTCAGTATCGTGGCTGGAACCTGTTACGACTATCCATCCAAACAGTCCAAAACTAGCGCTTTTGAGCTCAGTCTAAACTGCTAATTGTAATTTGCTGAATCAGCTTGGGCTGTAGTGATTCAGCTTACTCAAACGTAATAAAGATGAGGAACCCTACGTTCAAGTACAGAAGATGTTCAGTATTGCCTTACTATTTGTCCTATGTTTTTGAAAGAACCAGTAATTGGGTTTCACACAGTACCCACAGTACTTGGTTCTGTCACACTGTGAAGATTAGTTGTAACACTGTAACTAGGTAACAGTGCAGTCCTTTAGATGACAACTTGGATGAAACTCTAAGACTAAATAGTAGTGGTCTGAGGTGAAAGCTGACACAATTGAGAACATGGCTTGATCTGGTTTTGTGGAGACAGACAGGGGAATATCGTTTGGTGTTGTCATCTTGGTGAGTGTGCTGGCACATGAAAAGAGTAAAGAAAGACACTGGCATTGTTGTTTGCGGACCTGGCTGCCATGGCTGGATTGAAGCACCCAAAGTAACAAGGCACAACAAGGACTGAGAAGAACAAACTTGCTGTTCAAACGCTCTTGCTGTGTGTTGTGGCTGTCGAGGGATGTAGAGTTGGGCAGGTAACCTGACAGAAAACAATTCTCTGCAGGTGATTTCTTTGTGACCTTGTTTATGGTATAAAGTGTGGGAGCCTGAATACTACACTGTACAGTATAGAAACGGCTTCCACTTGCACTCTTGTGTAGCTTAGCTCTTGAAACCCGTGTAGAATTTAAAGAAAACAAGAAAAATATATAAAAACTAAAACCCACTTAGTAACCATCTTCTAGCTAATCCTTTTTACTAAATACAGAATGTGGCAAAATGGTGATTGTTCTGTAGAAATACATAAAATATACTGCATGTTTCATAAAAATCCAGATTTGTACATATAGACTCTTTGAGGACTTAATTAAAATTAATCAGTTTAATTAACCGTCATTACTAATATTCTAATGACACAGTTACGCAAGCGTAAATACTCTGCGTTATACGACATTAAGCACCACTAGATGAAATGCAGCCCAGTAGTACATAATCTTGTTTATGATGCTATATAATACCGTCATCCCACACACACACAAAAATGAATGAATCACAGTGTATTTGCACCTGATTTGGACATGTGTCCACGTCTGGAAAAGGTCAGCAGTGTTTAGAAAGGATGCACCTTACGCCAGGCAGCCAACTACCACAAAAAACCGCCCCCCTCCCAATACTAAGAATGAGTAATCATTCCCAAAAACAAAATGTGCAAACCATAATTTAGTGGTACAATCCCAGCCGAGGAGTGGTCCAGGATGCAATATGTTAAGGAAAAAATGGAGACCCTTGAGGACATGCCTGGGGATGAGAACTGCATTGAGACACCCCTGAGTCAGCTGGTTCAGTGGTCTTGTTTGTTGGTCCTGAGGAACCCCTGTATTGGCTGTTTTACTTAGTTTTTTTTTTTTAGTTTAACAATACCTATAATTCATTATTCATTCATTGACTAACTATTAACATGGCTGTTCATTCACTACAACAGAGAAGAACTACTCTGGCTACTATGGTAAACAATGAACAAGTTGGTTGTTTGCATACACATGTATATTTATACATATGGTGTGTTGGATGTTTGCTCCACCCTAGCTGACCCAACAGTTCTCAATTACTCAGGGCTGAACATCGCTTTTAAGCTGAAGGGTGGCAGACCCTGGATGTTGAAGCTCTTGGTTATGGCAGTGTACCTCATTGCATGTTCTCATGTCAGGATCTCCAGTTGTTCAGCCTCAACCCCGTTGTTCAGTTACCAGAGAGTGTGAGAGTGTTTCACGGGTGACCAAGGCCCAGCACGAGTAGAGATGGGGAAGAGGGTGGAGCAGCAACCAAGGATGGAGTCGAACAATCGGCGAGAGAACAGAACTGTGGGAAAGGGCTGAAGAGACACACGGACAAGCATGCGCACACACCCACCACCATGCAAGCACACTTAGATCCTCTAACAATACATACTGTAGGATGTACAATACATGCTGAGAGGTAAACACTCACACTTTCTCACCCATGCGCACGAGGAACTCCAGTCATACTTCAGTCAGGCCCTTTATCACAATCTGTTCTCATGTTCTTTTCCAACCCTGGCAAAAACCCCCTCTCGCCTTTAGCCTGGACTTACATGACATCTGCCTTTTACAGTACGATGTTAGCAGGCACGTGGCCACAGCTAAGCAGAAAGCCAGTGAGCCAGGGAAAAGGAATCTCTATTTTGTGTAGGGCTCTTGGGCCTCCCTTGTTGGGTGCATTTGTACTAATGCCTCATACTAAAGTCATGCCAAACACTACAATGTAAAAAACACACATTATATATTCAGATGAACCATTAAGTAAATAGATAAAATTGGAGTATGAAATGCATTCATTTTTCTAATGAATTGTTCACTGGCCCTCTCTGGAAATTTTAGTCAAGCTCCTTTGACCAAGAAGGCATGTTTTCTTTTTTTTTCTTTTTTTCCCTCACGACTGAATACAGTGGTCGTTCCGTGGGTGTCTGTGGTGGAGAGCTCCCGCAGGTTCAGCCGGGAGTTGTCTATCAGTTTATAACTGCTGCACAGCAGGCCTATAGATGGCACACATTTTGCACGGACTCATTCTACTGGTTCAAGGGGGCAGATAAATTGGAAAGACAGTACTGTAAGATGCGATTTGGCTTTGTTTCAACTGTGCTAGCGGAAGCCAGAACAGTCGCCCTGTACACCCATATAAGAGTATAACCTCTTTGAGGGCACACTGATGTTGAGGAGTATACCTTTTAACACTGCAACATGTTTTGTTATGTAAAAAAGTGTGTGCTCTGGCAAAATATAGTTATGTCAATGACTATAAATGTGGACACAAATACGCACTGAAGTATAATAGCATAGAAATATCTTCTCAGATTTGTCATATTTTTCTCAAGACCTTATTTCAAGTCTTTGCACCCAATAAGCATATATTAATCAACCTAAAACATTTGTTGATAAGAAAACAAAACAGGGAGGTTGAAAAAGGGAGTACGTTCTAGGATTCAGAAGGGAATGGTGGAGGATTCTTTGAAGGCTGTCTTTGCAATTTAAAAAAAAAAAAAAAAAAGTGCATGTTAACACACAGTTTTACCCTTCTACCCTTTACTTAACACCTACAATCGTTAAAAAAAGTCTTTGGAATGTTTTAATATGATTTTCTACCCACCAATTTAGAAAACATTGTGCTCATTTCAACTACATTCTACATTTCTTTTATTGTGTTTTTTTCACCTCAAGAGGTTATCTTAATATTTTGTGCTGTCACAACTACAGGCAAATCTGGCCACGTAAGGCATGCTGTTACAGCTCGCCTCCACTAGAGGGCAGTCTGCACTGTAAAAATTGAAATATGTGGGTGTAACTGATTGAAGGTCAGTGTGCTTCTTTTTTCTTCCATACATGATGTGATTACCATTTAGGAGTTTGAACAGAAATAGTACAGCCAGGATGCACTTGAGCCACGAAAGCTCACGGAGGGAAAATCCATTTTGAATTGCTTCTCTTAGACACAAATTTGATTGTGTCCTTTCTAGATTTTACAGTATCATGATAGACATGTCAGTGCTTTTTACGGGCTAAGGACTTGGTAAACATTATCATTCATTTCAGTGATTTACATAAAGAATGGCAGTAAATGTTGGGATGTGCAAAGACCTGCCCCCTCTGAGATTCTCCTCCATCATTCCCATCAGGCTTTGCACCAGTCCCATGTCACAGGGACATACAATATGCCCTTCACAAGTATTCACAGGTTGAATCACCAATACAGTATAATGCATTAAACACATTTCATAATGAAACATTCATATGTTATCTACACACTCATACAGAGCCCTCCTGTATGTAGAGGGATTTATATGAGACTTCTGTATATATCACATAAGATACTGTAGGTTCATAATTTTCTCTCTGTATTGTATGTTTTTTCCAAAAATAAATCATGACTGTGTGTTTAGAGTGTCTTGACAGATTTTCGGTTTACGAAACACACATCTCCTGCAGGAAAATTGAATGGTCGTAGAGGAGAGAAGGATTGAGCCAAGTGTCAAATGGAAAGAGATAATATCTGGAGAGGAGGAAGAGCAGAATGAAAGAAAGTAAACGCATGTGCACCGTTGTGAGTAAGAGAGGGAGACAGAGGAGGATGCCTTCAGAGGGAGGACTCGTACTGCAGGAGTTCATAAAGAAGCGGACCGTCCCTATACCTGATGCCCACCGCATTAGGGCTAATATACTGCAGCACATTTATGGTCCTGCGCAGGCGCCGATCCACAAAGTGTGCATCCCAGGCTGGGTAGCGTTTTCTGGGCATGTCTATCTTGATGAGAGGACCCTCAGGCCGGATGGGCCTGCCAGCTGCATCCACAGGCTCTGTGGACCTCACCTGGAAAACCGGAAGGCAGGTGTCCGTGGCTGTTTCGTCTGACTCCACATGTTCCCCTGCCAGACCCCGTGTGGGGGTGGCCTGAGAGCCACGGGGGCCTGGTGTGGGAGCCATGGGCTCGGCCTCGGGGGGTAATGGAAGGCCCCACAGCAGCTCAGCACAGCAGGAGCTGGCCAGCACCCTCAGTCGTGGGCCCATGGGGTGTAGGACCCCGTAATAGAGAACCATACAGACCACACCTGAGGCAAAGCACAGGAAGACGCCACAGAGGGCAAAAGAGGCATAGGCGTCAGTGGTGGCTGGGTCGCGGTATGCATACCAAAGGGAGCTGAGGATGGCGTTCTCTAACAGTACTACAGTGTAATAGGCCACCATTCTGTACCGCGTCCGGCCTTCACGTACATTGAACCAACAGAAGACATAGACCACGCCCACCACCATGTTGAACAGTACCTCCTCCCACTTGGACATGCAGAAGTCGGTGCCACCATGGATGACCCAGAAAGCCATGGCACACCAGTGGAGCACCACAAAAATGCCAAAGTAGATGTGGAAAACGGAGGCAAATAGGGCAAAGGAGAGCACCCGTGAAGAGATGGTGAAAAGGCGCCAGAACAGATGCACCAGGGCGCCTCTGTAACTCATGCTCTTCTTGTCGTCACGTGAATCACGCAGTAGTTTGTGGTAAGAGGCTAGCACCCAGGCCAGGGACAGGAGGGAGGACATGGCAGAAAAACCTGAGAATAGAGACAGAAAGCAAGGAAAGAGTAAAAGCAGAGAAAGACTAAGAATGGTAAGAATGAGAGCTATTGATAAATGATTCTAAAACCTCTTTCAAAATTGAAAGAGAAATCCAGTTTCATTTGAAGTATAAAGCATAATCCAAACGGTTATCTGGATTTTATCTGGACTTGGCTGCCATTCCACTTGCTGTGTACAGTAGGTTTCATTTCAGCCAAAGCAATTCATCACATTTTTGAAAGGCATATTATTACTAAGATCATCATAGGTCATACAGACAACACAGTTTCCATTTAGTACACCAGTTCAGTTTCCTTAAGACATGTATAATAGTAGAGACAGCAGATATGTCAGAGCAGTAACCTGCTGCATGAAAAATGACAGAGGATTATCTGCAGAGCAGCAGCATGGTGCCTCTCAGCAAATGTATTGATGGCATTTCTATAGACAACCCGACAGAGAGGGGTATCACTTGTTATGATTGAATTGCCTTCCTTGGGTAACTGCAATGCATGAGGAAACTGGAATGGTAAAAGAGGTTTCAGTAACAGGAGTGATGAGCGTTGGAAATCGGATACAATGGTGTAGAATATTGCACACGTTAAATAAAGTGATATTTGAACTGATTGGCAGTAAAATATGGAAGCATCTCGGCATGCGATGACCACAGTGCAAGCACAAGAGATACAAGAAATGTCTTGAGCTACACACGGACAAAACCAGACTCGAGTGTTACTCATGTAGAGCCTTAGGGAACTCCTTACACTGCAGCCACTCAGCCTTGTTGCTCTGGATCATGATGCAGAGCTGGAGCACCAGTTGAGGGGCGCTTTCTAAGAAGGTCTCCAGCAGTCGCAGCATGTTGACATCGGCATACTCGTACATCATAGCCCAGTAAAAACGCCGCTGGTTCTCCTTCTGCCGGTGACTTTGTATGCCGAGGTACATGGTGCGGATGTACCTGCAGAGAGAGGAAGTACAGAGTCTGTAGAGAGCGTCTGTAATGATGAACACTTTACCTTATTAATACAAAAGTGATGTTTTGCGACCCAAAGACATACAGACAGAATTAAGTCACATTCCACCTGCACCGTGGTTAAGTTTTGACAACACTAGAGGGCATGCTTAGCTACATTTTTAATACCCAGAAAATATATCCATCTGCATTTATTAGGAGTTTATCATTAGATTCTGAATGAGTTACAGGGAATTCTCAAACTTTTGTCAACACAAGTCGCCGAAACAGGCTGTATCTATAAAATAATGATAAACCACAAAAAAAATAAAGAAAACAACGCAAATGTACACACAAAAACACATCTGCATTTACCATTATAGGTTCTGCTTAGTAAACTGAATTTTGTCTATTGATGAACAATCTCTGGCAAAAATATGTGGATTTTGATTTTCTACGACTGATAGAACAGAGAAAATAGAGAAAGGAAACAAACCACGAGCGTGGCTAAGAAAAAAAGAAAAACTTTTGGGAAAACTCCACCTCTTCTTTTTGCCAATCAGTCTACATCCAATTAGAGTACACTCTCATGATGAAAGCAACCTCTTCCCTCGGCACAAGGCAACTTCTTACATATCTTGGCAAATCGACTCCACGGTATGACCACCTTGTGTAAAGCAGCAATCAGAGAAACAGCACTGGTATGGCCTAATTAAAAACATTTTACAATTCCCTGTATGGCCTCTGAAGGTGTGGTTATTCAACTTGTTATAGGATGCATATAGTAAGCAAGGCAATAATCATTCTCCTAAGTGCACCACATGACCCATATTGTCAGCTGCTGCAGCAGCTATTTTCATAACTGATGGGGTTTCATAATGGTGGAGGGATTCTGGTGAAGCCAGGGAGATGGTAGGTAATGCAGCCGAAAAGTGGCAGCTAATTGAATCAAGCTCCTGTTGCAATCTAAGCCGTATCGCTGCTTTTTTTTTTTTTTTAAGTAGAAGACAGAATCACTGTGTACTGCTGAGAAAAAAAATGTAATATGCTCATGGCTGTGATATAGCTCATTAAGATCCTTATCTTCTTTGGGTGTGCATTTCTTTTGAAATGTAACACTGCAGTTGGAGCCACCAATTAACGTGCGTAGAAAAGGAGGGGTGAACAATGATGAGGAAAACATTCTGTGGATCGAAGCTCTGGACTTTGGTTCGGTAAAAACATCAATCCATCCAACAAAAGCAAATCAAGGGAACGAAAAGAAAGGAAAACAGCAGTCTGGCAGCCTTTCTTCCTCTCCAACCTGTAAACAAGCTTCAGCTCCTCAAACAAGTTAGCCCAGGTCTGGCTGCAGAGAAAACAATCATTGAAACCAGTATGACAGTTATAGTGGTTTTTAGTTATCTTAACTGTTAACTGTGACTTCAGTCATTGCATATTGGGTGATAGCTGCAGGGTCTATCTGCCTGAGCTGGCAGAGTGGCCAAATAAATCCAGCACTTGATGTGAAGGCAGTCAACCGAGGACAATAGTGTAGCACGGACAGAAATAGACTAGACAGTAGCACTCACCAAAACAAATTGAGAGGCCATGGATCTAAATTCAGTTCCTAAAAGTGAGACACAAATTCACTGCAGCATAACAAACAAAACCAGAAACTGCTTATGAGTGGGTTTCAACATAATTAGCTTCTGCATTAGCCATTGGGAAAGAGATTACTGTTTAATTTGAAATGAAGTTGAGAACAGTGCACTCTAAAGAATGCATCATCTAGTAGGGTCTGATTGCTTTTGGTTATTGTTTTGACTGAGATTTAAGCTTCAACCAGTTGCATACAATACAAGTCTAAACAACTCTCTAGACTTTCAGTTAAATGTGATAAAATCTGGGGAGATGACACATATTAATTAATAATAAGAAATGAATTATCTCCACATACGCTGGGATGATAAAATAATTTTGATTTGGCACATTTACTCTGATCTTGATTTGATGTTGTTATTTTTACATTATTTCATTATTATATTGTATGTATTATTTATTGTATGTGAAGACGACAAACCGGACCAAAAAAAATTATTGTGATCACTAAATTAATAATATTAAAAATAATTATTTCATGGCCAAGAAAATAATCTGGTGAGAGATAACAAAAAAGAAAAAAAAAATCAATAAATGTGACATTTTCAAGGAAATAACTTCCTTCTTTTTTTCTTCTTCCAACGAATCTCCCTCTAACAGTTACAGTAGCTCTTATTTTTGCTCACAGAAGGAGACATGAAAATGAAAGCAAATATGAATTTGTGTCTGACTGCGACAGGGAAACTATCACCCAGATTAAAGTGTTTTGTCATAAAATGTACACATACTGTATACATTTATTATCCATACTTTACTGTAACAAAAGATACACAATAGATCCCTCCCAGGAGGATCTATTCTGTCATAGCATCCTTTTCCCACTGAGCCAAGGCTGCTAATGCAAGGAGTGATCAAGAACAGACAAAGGTCCGGCTGGGCAGGGAAATTTCGGAGCACAGGGATGGTGGTCTTCCTTGGGACAGTGGAAAATGGACAAAAGTTTGGTTTTTTTTGGGATCAGTTGCTCTGGGCTATAAGAGGCACCATTATATCCAGAGGTAAAGGCTGGCATTCCGTGACATTTTCAGTCGGACTGGTAAATGTCAGATGGAACAAGTCAACCCCCTTTCCCTCACTAATGACATGCCACAGAGACCTACACAGGCCCTTTGTCTCCATCCCCCAATTTCCATTAGTCTGTGTGTTCCACTGATACGTCTCACTGGTCTGTAGTGCCTCCGACAGAAACAGTAGCCTAATCTTCATGGCCTCCGCAGCTGTTTCGCTTTGAAAAAATAGTCTACAGCCATGCTAGCAGCTCTGTGAGGCTGCACTTAGGCACAGCGGTGCTTTGCGCTAAAGCTAAACGTCAGCATGCTAACAGGCTAACAAAGACGATGCTAACATGCTGATGTTGAGCACCATCCTGTTTCAGAGTTTTATCATGCTAAAATATTTGTTGGTTAGCACTAGCACATACTGCAGCTGTGGATGATGGGGATTTGATTCGTTTTTCCAGGTATTTGGTCATAAACTAAAGTTTTATTTTTTTTATTTATAATTTTTGATCTGACAGTAGTGTTAGAGGAAAAGTTATTGAAATTCATCCTGTAGCCAATTTCATCGCAATAGATCCAATAGTTGTTGAGACTTTTCACTCAAAACCACAGATGTGAATCTCATACTATACTGATACCATACTGGAAGTCATTAGGATACATTGTTTGGCAACCATGTAAATCTGTGCAAAATGTCGCAAAAACATAAATTAAACGCAGAGATATTTCACTTGCTGAGGGAAAACTTGGAACTGTTGGTGGCACAAGAGGGGAAGTGAGGGGGTGACCAAAGTCATTAGTATTCAACCTTCAGGGTCATCATGAATGTCATGGCAATGTATTAGGTAATTTCACTAAAAACCAAAAAAGTCAAACCTCGTGGTGGCACTAGTGTACAAAATTTAATAGCAGAAGTTACTGAAAATGGTGGATTGACAAACTGGTAAACCAACAGTACCATTCTTAGAGCATGGATGATATAACAATATACGGATACCTGGTTTGATAGTTCATCTTCAATGACTGAATATCAATATCATTATTGCTCACTTGTATTTTGTTTAGCATCAATATTGAAGCATATCAATCTTATTTTATAGTTCTCATTGTACAAACTCACATCCAACACTTTCCTCTCTGATAATAGTTTGTTAGTTCATATTCCCTTGGTTTCAGCAAAAAAAAAACAAAAAAAAAAAACTTGTACAGTTAAACACTTTGGGTTTCATGGCTGTCAGAGAAATCTGAACTCACTCCATCACATCTCCACACACACATAGCACATGCCTTCACAAGAATCTCACACACATCCCGCGATTGTGATGCACACTGTTAACACTCCCACTGTGCCTTTTCAGATGTAGTAACACAAACAGCTCCCTAAAATAAGCACATGCGCACACACACACACACACACACACACATACTTGTGGGCACACAAGCACGCGCAAGCATACTTGTCAGTGCTGTAGGTAATAGGGGATTTCCTTTCTATTCCAGACACATTTGTCAGATGGATCTCTCTCTCTGTCTTCCTCCCCCTTGCCTCCCGTCCTCACTCCACTTAGGCTGTGGTCCACTCCTTGATGCTTTCCTCTCTGCCCCCCCCCTCCCCCTTTTTAGCTCCATGGCTCCTCTACAGGGCTCCTCATGAATTATTTGTGGCAAGATCATAGCGATTGCTCATGGCTCGTTAAGCAGCGTACGCATGGCCTAACAGCTCAACGCTGTGCCGGGGTCGTGTTCCAAGCCCAGCCGTCTGCCATTGCTGTCGAGACACAGGCAACCATTAACCCCCTCTCCACCACCACCACCGCACTACAACACACACACACACACACGTACACAACTGAAAACACACACACTATCTTCAGAAACACAAGATTTGCCTGCAACTCAAATTGACTAAGCAAAGGAAGCTGTAAAGCCCAGAGACAGATATGAAACTGTAATTACAATGTTTGCATGAGCAGACATGGTGAGATCTGAGCATGAGCTGCAGTGAGGGACAGGTGGAGTGACAAGCACACACACACACGCACGCACACCCTTGCACCCACAGACCATGTGGACGACTGGCTGCTTGGCCACAATGTTTCTCCCTCTCCTCCAAAGGCATTGACCGATGAGTCATCCAGTCACCCTTATACTAATCCCTTGAGTGGGTGGTTAGAAGGATCACACACACACACACACACACATACACACACACACCTAGCCAAGTTTAACAGCATCTGTCTTCTAAGTCATGCTCGTGGGAAGGCTCAGCCGCTCTGACTGCATTCATATCTTGTCATAAGCTGATTCATAAGAAGATCACAAGTAGGCTACTATTACAGCAGCATGAAGCTTATGCATCTTCTGTTA